CCGCTGAGCAGGGAGCCCGATGTGGGACTCGATCCCGGGACTCCAGGATCATGACCTGAGCCGAAGGCAGTCGCTTAACCAACTGAACCACCCAGGCGCCCTAAAGTTCTAACTCTTGGGTTCCAGTTAGGTCATGGTCTATGTGTTCTGGGATCAAGTCCCACATGGGGCTTCATGCTTAGCGAGGAGTCTGCTTGGGATTTTCTTTCCCCCTCTGCTCCTCCCCCTTCTTGCATGCTCGCCCTCTCTCTCTCAAATAAAATGAACAAAATCTTAAAAAAAAAAAACAAAAAGGAAAAACAATCTTTTTACAGGAATAATGGAACTTATAATAAATGCAGCCAACAGTCAAAACTTACATTTTACATGCTATTTGCCTACAGAACAGTTGACTCAATAGGAAAATCCTGCTAGCTTTTCTTCTTCTTCTTCTTCTTTTTGTTTTTTTGGTCTTACTTGCTTATTTATTCATAAAGCATGATGAAATAAACCAGATCATAATTTTTATTGGCCACATTGTTTTAATTTACATAGGGCATCAGAATTTATACTTAGAGATTAAAAGATTTTTTTTTATTACCAGGTATCACTAATCATAAAAGTTTGCTTTATTCCAGTTCACATGGAACAATGCATTCTGAATCAAAGTATAGTATTTAAGACTAAACTCAATCAACATTATTGTAATCTCTTTTCCAAAATGCAAAAATCAGTGTTTTAGGTAATTTCCCAAAAATTTACTTGTCCTCATTTTTATCTAAAAACCTGAGTCTTTGTGGGTGCCTGGGTAGCTCTGTCAGTTAAGTGTCTGCCTTCGGCACAGGTCTCTACCCCAGAGTCCTCCCCACTGCTCAGCAGGGAGCCTGCTTCTCCCTCTCCCTCTGCCTGCTGCCCGCCCTGCTTGTGCTCTCTCTGTCAAATAAATAAAACCCTTTAAAAAAAAATGTTGAGTCTTTGCTTTCCTAGAAAAAGTTTCTCTTATTACAGCTTTTGCTAATGTCTCTACCCACTGGAGATGACCCCTCATGTTTCCTTCCCCTGAATGATTTCACACGATCAATTTTCCTCATTACTGTCACCAGCACAGGTTTGTCATATGCTAAATTGTTTAAATCCTTTTCTTTTTTCATGTGCAGGGAAATTGTACTCTTTTGTTTCCTGCCTTAATGGGTCCGTACAGTGGACTCAATGACCGCTAAGTCAAGTTTCACACACTGTTGGCAAGTCACTCTTCTAGATCTATTCTTCGCATCCTCTGCTGCACTTGTGGTTCATGAAATGTGTGTGTTGTATTTCCTGGGAATGATCGGATTCTATTTCTGGTTCATTCCTCAGCTGGCAGGAAATAGACACACACAGGTGGCATTGTGAGTTTCCGATTCTGGCGCTGAACGGTCCTTCTTCTTCCCCTCTCTCTCAGCGGAAGACAAATGTGGGAGAAACGAGTTCCAGTGCCAGGATGGGAAGTGCATCTCCTACAAGTGGGTTTGTGACGGGAGCGCCGAATGCCTGGATGCCTCAGATGAGTCCCAGGAGACCTGCAGTGAGTCCCCTTTGGGCTTCCTACCCTTTTTGATGAGAGTGGGTGACAGATGAGGTGAACGTCAGCCAGTAGGCTGATGTGTTCAGCCATGAATTGGGACTTGGGGGGGAAGAGATATTTCTGGAGCCTTAACAGCTTTTACAAAAAAAAAAAAGAGGTGAAATTCATATAACGTAAAATTAACCATTTTAAAGGAACCAGTTCAGTTGTATTAATATGGTCACAGTGCTATGCGACCATCACCTCTCTCTCCTTCCAAACCTTTCCATCACTTCATGTCTGATTTTTTTTTTTTTGACCCAGAAAGGTGGTCTTGGCCCCCTCTTTCTGAAAACTGTATTTTTGCTCTGCAAAGCTGGGGCTGGGGACATCAGATCGGGCTTCCCTCTGAGGGAAGGCTCAGTCCTGTTTCTCCCATAGTGTCTGTCACCTGCAAGTCGGGGGACTTCAGCTGTGGGGGTCGTGTGAACCGCTGTATCTCTCAGTTCTGGAGATGTGATGGCCAGGTGGACTGCGAGAATGGCTCAGATGAGCAAGGCTGTTGTAAGTGTTCTCCCCCCCACCCCCTGCAGCCCTGCGCTGGCCGCACTGGTTCCGCCCTGGTCCTGGGCTGCTCTTAAAGTTGGTGCCCCCAGGCAGTCCTGCCCCCAGCTGAGCTGTGGATTGACTGCTCTTCAGTTGGCTCAGCCTCCTCGCACTACTAGAGCCCCACTTTGCCCAGGAGGCTTTGCAGGGGGATAGGGTTGGTGCCACCTCTTAGGATCATCAGCATCCTCAGTGAGGCTGTCCTTGCCAACCACATGGCACATGCTCTGGTGAGCCACTGGGACCACCACCAGCCACCCCGGGAGGCTGAGCACCCAGTAGGTGCTCGCTGGCCGAGACCCGATCACTCAGCTGACCACCAAGAAAAGGAAAGCTTTACTGAGTTGTGGCTTCTGGGAAGGAACAGGGCCAAGAGTCCTGGAGGGGGAGGCACTTTGGAGAGCGGGGGATCTGTCTTGGCTCTTCGGTATTAGTTAGTTATTGTATAGTTTTTGTTTTTGTTTTTTTTTAATATTTCTTTACTTCCTTGACAGAGAGAGGGAGAGAGAGAGAGAGAGCATGAGCAGTGGGGAGGGAGAGAGGGAGAAGCAGACCCCCTGCTGATCAGGGAGCCCGATGCGGGACTCGATCCCAGGACCCTGAGATCATGACCTGAGCTGAAAGCAGACGCTTAACGAACTGAGCCACCCAGGCACCTTAGTTTTGGGTTTTTAATGGAGCTAAGGCTCTGAGAAAAATAACTGGGAAAATTTTAAATAACTAAGATAATGTCAGATCTTCAAGTTCAGAAAAATATAAAAATCCATGAAAAAAAGCAACACTCAAGTGTTCACATGCATTCACTTGAGAAATGCATGTCTAACCTGGATTAGTGGTCATCTGATGACCTTGGGGTCGTTTAAAAATAAAATGGATTGTTGTTCTTTTTACAGGTATGTTTTTTTTTTCCTTCCAGCTTTATTGTGATATAATTGACATACAACATTATGTAAGTTTAAAGAGTAGATGGGGGAAAAATAATTTAAAAAAATTTTTTTAAGTTGCCAATTTCTTCTTTTTTTTTTTCCCCTAAAGATTTTATTTATTGGGCGCCTGGGTGGCTCAGTCGTTAAGCGTCTGCCTTCGGCTCAGGTCATGATCCCGGGGTCCTGGGATCGAGTCCCACATCGGGCTCCCTGCTCGGCGGGAAGCCTGCTTCTCCCTCTGCCTCTCCCCCTGCTTATGTTCCTTCTCTTGCTGTGTCTCTCTCTGTCAAATAAATAAATAAAATCTTTACAAAAAAAAAAAGATTTTATTTATTTATTTGAGAGAGTGGGTGGGGAGGGAGAAGGAGAGGGAATCTGAAGCAGACTCTTTGCTGAGTACAGAGCCCCAACTTTAAAAAAAATTTTTTTGGTGGGGGGCACCTGGGTAGCTCATTTGGTTGAGAGTCCAACTCTTGGTTTCTTCTCAGGTCATGATCTCAGGATCATGAGATTGAACACCAAGTCAGGCTCTGTGCAGGGTGGGCATGGAGTCTGCTTAAGATTCTCTCTCTCCGGGGCGCCTGGATGGCTCAGTCGTTAAGCGTCTGCCTTCGGCTCAGGTCATGATCCCAGGGTCCTGGGATCGAGCCCCACATCGGGCTCCCTGCTCGGCGGGAAGCCTGCTTCTCCCTCTCCCACTCCCCCTGCTTGTGTTCCCTCTCTCGCTGTGTCTCTCTGTCAAATAAATACATAAAATCCTAAAAAAAAAAAAAAAGATTCTCTCTCTTTCTCCCTCTGCCCCCCTACCCTCCTCATGTGTAGACTCTCTAAAAAAAATAGAGTAGGTGATGATTTGATACACATACATACTGCAAAATGATCACCACTGTAAGTGTTAGCCAACACCTCCATCAAATCCCATAATTACCACGTTTTGGGGGGTGTTTCTTTTAATAATAACAGCAAGCTCTTAAATGGGCCAGGCGCATGTACGGATGAGGCAACTGAGGCACAGAGGGGCCACGGGAGCGGGCTGGGGAGGCTGACCCTGCCTGGGGTTTCCATCCAGGGCCCCTGACCACTATCCTGGCTGCCTTTCCAGGGTCTCTCACTGAGATCTGGCCTCTCCAGGACTCGGTGTCCCCATCTGTGGAATGGGCTGCTAGTGAGAAGTGGGGCGCTCTGGTGACCAGGTTGTCTTTCCCCACCTATCCCTGCAGTGCCCAGGACGTGTGCCCAGAATGAGTTCCGCTGCCGGGATGGGAAGTGCATCGCTCTGGAATTCGTCTGCGATTCGGACTGGGACTGTTTGGACGGGTCGGACGAGGCATCCTGCCCCGTGTCCACCTGCGGCCTTGCCACCTTCCAGTGCAACAGCTCGGCCTGCATCCCCGAGCTGTGGGCTTGTGACGGTGACCCCGACTGCAAGGATGGCTCCGATGAGTGGCCGCAGCGCTGTCCGGGCCACAGCACGTCCGCCCCGCAATGGGGCAGCAGCCCTTGCTCACTGCTCGAGTTTCCCTGCCGGAGCGGGGAGTGCATCCACTCCAGCTGGCGCTGCGATGGCGGCCCGGACTGCAAGGACAAGTCAGACGAGGAGAACTGCAGTAAGGGCGCAGCCGGCGGGGGCGGCGGGGGGGGGGCCTCTCCCCTGTCCCTGTGCCCCCCCCCGGGGGGTGGGGCGGTGCTTAAACGGCGCCCGGGCTCACCGCCGGAGTTTCCATCTCCTTCCGCGCCTCTTCCAGTGCGCCCGATCACGCGGAGGAGAAAGCCTCTGTAAAAGGAGACCCTCTCTTTAACGCCTGTAGAGTTCACCCCTTTTTTCTGACCAGGGGAGCAGCAGCAAGCTCAAGTATTATTTTCGTCCAGAAGGGATCCTGGGCTTCGGGCCTGGCGGGTGACCTCTGGCCAAGGACTCAACCTCACTGCCTTGTGTTCTCTTCCCCCATGGAATGGGGCAAGATCACTGGCCTTTGCAGACTTTCGACTGGAGTCCAGCACCACCCTGTCGAACTTTCTGGGCACCCACGTCGGTGCTGCCCAGTGCGGTAGTTGCTACCCAGGGTAGCTTGTGCAAGCCAGGAAGGGAATGTTTTGTTTTATTTCACTTTTGTGAATTGAAAGTTAAATAGCCACACGTGGTGAGCGGCTCCTGTGTGGGAGGCCGAGCAGGTAGAGGATTGTGCCCCCCAGACCCTGGCCTCGCGCCAATGCTTCCTGAACGGGGGCGCCGATACCTCAAAGCTAGCGATGCAGAGCTACTGTGAATTTAGAACATGTTTTCGTGTCCCTGTTTCTTTGGTACCTTTGCCCCCGTTCACTGTTTTCCTAGAATTGTAATCTCTGTGTAGGTGGAATTAGACTTTTTAAGAGTCACTTAAAAAAAAAAAAAAAAGACTTTTTTTTTAAGTTTATGTATTTCTTTTTTTAGTAATCTCTATAGCCAGTGTGGGGCTCGAACTCACAACCCCGAGATCAAGAGTTTCACGCTCTTCCAACTGAGCGCACCAGGCGCCCCTAACAGTCACATTTTAAAATAATGGATGACTTTATATACAATGTGTACTAAAACTCAGCACAAACTCCCTGAATTCTCATAACTTGAGCAGGCTTCCCCCACCCTTTACAGATGGGGAAACTGAGGCCCAGAAAGGCTGAGTAACCGGAGGACACACACCTGTGAAAATAAAAAATTCATCTTTTTTCCTCCACAGTGTCATCTCATAAACATTTGTCCTGCTTCACAGTGTTCGACTGTGTTGTAAGCAGTGGTACTGATCGAATTTGTCACACTTTGGCCTGGATTGGGAACGCGCCATTGCTTTTCCGCTGAGGGCAGCCTGTTGGCTCTGGCAGGTTTTTAGCAAATTATGTGTTCTCGGGGCACCTGACTGGCTCCATCCGTAGAGCGTGTGACTCTTGATCTCAGGGTTGTGAGTTCAAGCCCCACATTGGGTGCAGAGATGACCGAAAATCTTAAAAAAAAAAAAAAAAAATTGTGTTCTCAAAAATGCATATGTGGAAAGGTTGGGGAGAACTCCAGGAAAACTCAGTGGTTGTGTTAGGGGTGCTTCCCCCGCCCCACACTTTCTTATTTTCCAAACGTTGCTCTGTGACTTTAGTAATAATTTTCTGGGATTTGTCTTCATTGAGGAAAAAAGTACTTACTGCCATGAAAGAAAAGCTAAAACTACATCGGTTAGGGGGGCGCCTGGGTGGCTCGGTTGGTAAGCGTCAGACTCTCGGTTTCGGCTCAGGTCATGATCTCAGGGTTATGAAGCCCCGTGTGGGGCTCTGTGCTGGGTGTGGAGCCTGCTTAAGATTCTCTCTCCCTCTCCCCTCCCCCTACCTTAAAAAAGAAAGAAAGAAAGACTACATTGGTTAAAATTTAGAATGTGAAGACAGGTGCACCCAGGGAGTTTTTCCCCAGGTGGGAAGCAGGTAAAATGGATGAGCCACTGTCTCCTGCTTGTGGAGGTGGTAGGGCGTGTTCTTTTCACCTCTAAAATCTTCCCTGTTGCATACTGTCCCTGATGCCCGAGGCAGCCAGGAAATTGCTGCTTCAAAGGTGGTAGTTTGTTTTTCCTTCGCTGTTCCTTGAGAAAAACCAGCATGTGCCCTGTCTTTCCCAGCGGTGGCCACGTGCCGGCCTGATGAGTTCCAGTGCTTGGACGGGACCTGCATCCATGGCAGCCGGCAGTGCGACAGACAGTATGACTGTAAGGACATGAGTGACGAGCTCGGCTGCATCAACGGTGAGCTCCTCTGGGGGTGGCCCTGCGCCCGCTGTGTGTCCTCAGGCTACTTCCTTGCCCTACCTGAACCTCACTTCCATTTATCTGACCAGCGTGCGTCGTGGAAGCATCTGTTTCAGGACCGTGACATTTGATGAGGCCAAAGTGCACGGGGCTCTTGTCTTTGAGCTCGGGTAATACGTGCGCTACGACTCTGCGTAAAGCACTCTCCTGGGCTTACCGTGTGACGCTTCCACTCCTGGGAATGAGCCCAGGAGAAACTCACACCTGTAACCGGGAGACGGGCTCTGGAACATGTGGAGCAACACTGGCCTAACAGCGAAACCCTAGAAGCAACCCAATTGTTTATCAGCAGAATTCATTTAATTTTTTTATTTTTTTTTTAAGATTTTATTTATTTATTTGACAGAGAGAGAGAGTGAGCACAAGCAGGGGGAGTGGCAGGCAGAGGCAGAGGGAGAAGCAGGCTCCCCACAGAGAAGGGGGAGCCCGATGCAGGACCCGATCCCGGGACTCCAGGATCATGACCTGAGCCGAAGGCAGTCGCTTAACCAACTGAGCCACCCAGACGCCCCAGCAGAATTCATTTTAAAAATTGTTTTAATTGTATTAAAATCGTGGAACATAAGGATACGACTTTTATTTTTTTATTTTTTATTCTTAAAGATTTTTTTTTTTAAGATTTTATCTATTTATCGACAGAAAAGGCGAGAGAGCGAGCATGAGCGGAGGGAGAGGGAGAAGCAGGCCCCCTGCTGAGCAGGGAGCCCGATGCGGGACTCGATCCCAGGACCCTGGGATCATGACCTGAGCCACCCAGGCTCCCCTATTCTTAAAGATTTTATTTATTTATTTTTAGAGAGAGAGTGTATGGGGGGGAGGAGGGTGAGGGAGATAGAGAATCTTAAGGAAGCTCCATACCCAGCACAGAGCCCAGTGGGGGGACTCGATCTCACGACCCTGAGATGATGACCTGAGCTGAAATCCAGCGTCAGACATTTAACCGACTGAGTCACCCAGGCACCCCCAAAACAAACTTTTTTGAACAAGAAGTTAAATTCTGATAATGCACTTTTTGACCCTTGTGGTAAATGACACATAACACACACAAAAAAAACAAACCAAACAACAAAAAAGACACATAACAAAATAATTACCATCTTTACCATTTTTCAGTGTTTATTTCCATGATATTAAGTACATTGTTATGTTTTATTTATCAATACATTTGCTTATCATCTTGTGTAAATGAACTATTCTATGAGTAAAGAGAAGTAAGTGGGCTCTTGCCTCTCCGAAGCACCTGACCCTCCTCTTTGGCTCCTAGTAACGCTGTGTGAGGGGCCCAACAAGTTCAAGTGCCACAGTGGTGAATGCATCACGCTGGACAAAGTGTGCAACTCGGTCAGGGACTGTCGGGACTGGTCGGACGAGCCCCTCAAGGAGTGCGGTGAGCCCCCCGGGGTGCTGGCAGCTCTCGGACTTATGGAGAGCTGGGGCTGGGACCCAGATGTGGATATGCTATGGGGCTGCAAGTCTCCTGCCCACCTGTGCCCGTGCGTGCTTTAGCTCTGCGGCAACACAGAGATGGGGGTCCTAGGGGAGAAGCAGCTTTGCTTCCTGAGCCTCAGTGTTCACATCTGTAGGATGGGACAATAAGGGTTCAACATCCTAGGGCTGCCGGGGATTGGCTGTTGCAATGCTTGTAAAGTTTCAGCAGTGCTCTGTGACCTGTGGCCATGTAAATATTTTGGACTTGACAGCTGTACGATCTGTCACAGCTGTTCAACAGGACCTAAATTACAGCAGGAAGACCACGTTCGAATGCACATGTGCATATGAACGCGTGTGGCCAGGCTCCAAGCAAACCTAATTGTGGACACTGATGTTTGAACCTTTCACGTGGCACAAAATACTGTTTTTCTTTTGATTCTTATTTTTCTTTTCAACTATTTAAAAACGTAATAAGCATTCTTAGCTTTGGGGCCACGCAGGAACAGTAAAGAGAGCTAGGGCATGGATGCTGGCGCCGAGTGCCCTGGGTCTGGTCCAGCACAGCGATCTTGGGCAAGTCTTGGAGCTTGGCCATGCCTCGGTTTCCACAGCTGTAGTTCAGCTACCTGTATGGTTGTTGGGAGTTAGTACACGCAACTGTGGAACATGGTTTTTTAGTTTTTATAATCAAGAACATTTTGAAATGTGTCTTACAAAAAAGAAATAATAATGTGGAATTTACCATCTTAACCATTTTTAAGTGTCCAGTCCAGCGGCATTAAGCAGACTCACGTGGTCGTATAGTCATCTCCACCGTCCGTCTCCAGAACTTTCTTATCTTCCCAAACTGAACCTCTGCCCCATGGAACGCCAGCTCCCCATCCCCTCCCCCACCCCTACTTCCTGGCTCTGATTTCGACTCCACTGAGGACGTCCTACAAGTGAATCCTGCCGTATTTGTCCTTCTGTGCCCTGACTAGTTTATTCAGCGGAATGTCCTCCAGGTTCCCTCCTGGCGCGCCACCTGACAGGGGTCATGTTAAGTCCTCTTAGGGGACATGGTAGTTCACGTCCCCAAGTCGTTGTGGCAATCATGATAAGGGTGATGAAATGGTGCAGGGGTGCTGACGACCTGAGTGTGACCAGTCTCTGCTCTCTCCCCACCCCTGGACCTCTGCACCCGGCGCAGGGACCAACGAGTGTCTGGACAACAAGGGTGGCTGCTCCCACATCTGCAACGACCTCAAGATGGGCTACGAGTGCTTGTGCCCCGAGGGCTTCCGGCTGGTGGACCAGCGAAGATGTGAAGGTGATTCCCCAGCAGCCTGGGCTCCCAGCCTCCTCGGCCCTTTCTCCTCATGGGGTGGCCAAACCCTCGGTGCCTCAGTTTCCCCACCTGTTAAGTGGGCATGAAAGCCTTGCTGACCTCACGGGCCTGTTAGGAGGGTTTAATGAGGTGCCAGATGCACAGGACAGCCAGCGCAGGCCTGGCCCTCGAGGAGCGCTCGGTTCTTGCCTTTGGGGATTAGAAAGAAAGAAAGAAAGGAAAGAAAAGAAAGAAAGAAAAGAAAGAAATCTTGGCTGACGCAGCTTCGCCCTGTGAGCAGTACCCCTGGGGTGAATGGTGAGGTCAGGGTCATTGTCGGAGACGATGCTTAGCTGTTTCTGTGTTTTTATTTCTGAACCTGTGGGTCACCAAGACCCTGGCTCTAGGGGTTGTCCCCAGAGGGCTTGGGCTGTCCCCATTTGCCACTGGGAGGCACCCCAAATCCCTTTCTGTGTCCCGACTTACAGATATCGACGAGTGTCAGGATCCCGACGTGTGCAGCCAGCTGTGCGTGAACCTCGAGGGCAGCTACAAGTGTGACTGTGAGGAGGGCTTCCAGCTGGACCCCCACACCAAGGCCTGCAAGGCTGTGGGTGAGCGCGGGGCAGGGCCGGTGGGGGCGGGGCCAGCACCAAGAACAGGTGTAGTGGGGAGTCTCATCGTGTGAACTTTGCATCCACTCCAAAGACCGCTGGATGGGGCCGACCGTGTCCTCTCGAGACCTCTGGCAGATGCATGAGTAGCCCTGTCCGGAACTTACCAGGAGGCTGCCCGCACGTGTCCTGTTTCCCTGCAGACACAGGTCAATTGCAGGACATCCAGTTTGCAGTCCCCAGCCCCTCCCCCCCCCAGTGGCTTCAGGGGACAAGAGGTTGAAAAGCTGTGGCCTGAAGGGCCCGCACCCCCACCAGCTGTTCTTATCCACTTTAGAGAAGCCTATCCCCCAAAAGCAAAAGTTCACTCAAGAGAGACCAAGGTATAATCAATCGCTCCTAAGAAAACCAAACCGCAGGAATAGTTGTGTTTCTTTTCTACCTAAACTGAAGATGAGCACGGCAGCCAGGCACTGATTCTCAGAAGCCCCGAAATGAAGAGATCCCATGGGTTTGGAGGCATAGCCGTCCTTGGGGAGTTGACCGGCGGGCCAAACTCCCTTTGCCCTGTGTCCTGTTCCGCCCTCCAGTGTGATTCCAGTGAGGGACAAGCGTGCAGAAATATTTTAGATCGTCTTCCGTTTCCCTCCCCTGTTGTCATCCTTTTTGTGATGGTTCCTTGGCCACCCTCTGTCACACCTCCATGTGTTCCCTGTTCTGGGGAAAACCAGGCACTGAGTTCATGAAACCCCCCAGGGTTTGAGGTTTCACTTTTGTTCTGATCTCCCCGGGCCGTTGTCTATACAGACACCTTCCCAGGGGCGCGGGTGGTGTCATGGGAAGGGCTGTTCTGAGTGAGGTCAGTTGTACACACGGTTAGCCTGTCGGTGAATACTGGTGTCATGGTTACAGCACTGCCCCCAGAGTTGGGGCGGCGTGGGTTTGAATCCCGGTTCTGCCACCTGGTGTGACCTTGGGCTCGTCACTTCCCCTCTCTGAGCTTCAGTTCCCTTACATGTAACGGGAATTTGACAACAGCCCTGGCCGCAGGAGTGTGAGGGAAAACATCATATGAAAAGCACTCAGAATTTCCTGCCCTAAGGAATCGCTCTGTATACCTGAGCCGCTAACGTTTCTTCATCTTTATGTTCCAAAATGGAAAATGCTGGGGCCCTAGTGTAGATTTTTTTTTTAAAAAAGATTTTATTTATTTGATAGAGAGCGAGAGCACAAGCAGGTGGAGTAGCAGAGGGAGAAGCAGACTCCCCGCTGAGGAGGGAGCCTGATGCGGGGCTCGATCCCAGGACCCTGGGATCATGACCTGAGCTGAAGGCAGATGCTTAACTGACTGAGCCACCCAGGCATCCCCAGGTTTTATTATTAGTGTAGGTTTTATTACCATTCAAGTATGGTGGGACCAACCTGGCAGGAGACGACCACCATTAAGATCGGTTGTTATGGGGCACCTGGGTGGCTCAGTTGGTTGGGCGGCTGCCTTCGGCTCGGGTCATGGTCTCGGGGTCCTGGGATCGAGCCCCGCATCGGGCTCCCTGCCAGGCGGGAGGCCTGCTTCTCCCTCTCCCACTCCCCCTGCTTGTGTTCCCTCTCTCGCTGTCTCTCTCTCTGTGTCAAATAAATAAATAAAATCTTTAGAAAAAAAAAAAAGATCGGTGGTTATAGTTCCCCAAGAGGAGGGGGCGTGGCAGCCGGGGGGTCACCCTGGGGAAGCACCAGGGTCGGTCAGGAGGCAGAGGGAGAGGGCCAGCCCTGGGAGGGGCTGTCCCTTTAGTCTCTACAAGGCCCAGGATGTCAGAGCATCAGAACCACATGTTTAATACACCCCATCCCGAGTGTCTCCTCTGGTTCAGCCCAACCCTGGAGGGTGACAAGCAGGAGTCGGGGGTCCCTTCTGCTCCCCTGAGCATCCTTCCTCCATCCCTAGGCAACATTGCCTACCTCTTTTTCACCAACCGCCACGAGGTGAGGAAGATGACCCTGGACCGCAGCGAATACACCAGCCTCATCCCGAACTTGAAGAATGTCGTTGCCCTAGACACAGAAGTGGCCAGCAACAGAATCTACTGGTCTGACCTGTCCCAAAGGAAGATCTACAGGTGAGCCTTGGAGCCGCTCCCAGCCCTGACCCTGGGTGAAATAGGCCCCTCACACTGACGCTCTCCTCCCCCTCTCCCCTGCCCCCCTGACAGTACCCAAATCGACAGAGCCCCCAGCTTCTCCTCCTATGACACCGTCATCAGTGAGGACCTACAGGCCCCTGATGGGCTGGCAGTGGACTGGGTCCACAGCAACATATACTGGACAGACTCCATCCTGGGCACCGTCTCCGTGGCTGACACCAAGGGTGTGAAGAGAAAGACACTCTTCAAGGAGAAAGGCTCGAAGCCTCGTGCCATCGTGGTGGATCCTGTTCACGGGTGGGTATTCCCGTAGCTTAGGGGTACAGAGGGAACGAAGAGCAGAGGTGGGGTTCTAGAACTGGTTAGGACTCAGACGAGGGGAAGGTGTGTGCCTGAGCTGGACTGGCCTCCGTGGGCACGGGGCTGTCCCCAGCCATGGAGGCCCTTGCTGTCAGGAAAGAACAGGACCTGGAACAGTGGTTCTTCCCTGCCTGCCCTTTGAGAGCCAGGGGTTGGTCCCTCATGATGTCTGCTGAGATGGAAGTGGACCCAGAAAAGTTGTGCGCTCAGGATAAGAACCAAAATCAGGCACCTGGGTAGCTTAATCCGTTAAGTGTCTGATTCTTTTTTTTTTTTTTTTAAAGATTTTTTATTTACTTATTTGACAGAGACACAGCGAGAGAGGGAACACAAGCAGGGGGAGCGGGAGAGGGAGAAGCAGGCCTCCTGCCGAGCAGGGAGCTGGATGCGGGGCTTGATCCCAGGACCCTGGGATCATGACCTGAGCCGAAGGCAGACGCTTAACGACTGAGCCACCCACGCGCCCCAAGTGTCTGATTCTTGATCTCCGCTCAGGTCTTGATCTCAGGGTGGTGAGTTCAAGCCCTGTGTTGGGCTTCATGCTGGGCATGGAGTCTACTTAAAACAAAACAAAACAAAAAACCAAAACCAGAAATTAAAATATGAATTTAAATTGGTCTTAGAAATGAATACTTATTTAAATTCTGATTTAGTATTTTATAGCAGAGAATCCTGTGCCAGGATAGGATTGTAGAAAGGTAAAAAATGCTCAGATCCAATGGTAGTTTCAGGGAGGAAGCCACAGGGAGTAAAGGTCGCCACCCTGCTGAGCCCCCAGGAGGGTGTTTGCAGGGCCCGTGGCTGACTCAGCATCTCCGGGGCCCACAGGGACCTGTGTCCCCTGACGGAAAGCATCTCCCCTCCCCATGTCCCAAACCCATTACACCATATCTGCCCATGGAATTTCACAATTCTGGAGGGACGGTGGCAACCTTGGGACAGGCAGCCTGTCCTGGTGGCAATCATCAGAAGGAAAGGAAACTTTTTTTTTCTTTTTAAGATTTTATTTATTTGAGAGAGAGATTGAGAGCACGAGAGGAGGGGAGAAGCAGAGGGAGAGGGAGAAGCAGGCTCTCTGCTGTGTGATCCCAGGACCGAGGGATCATGACCTGAACCGAAGGCGGACGCTTAACCAACCGAGCCACCCATGCACCCCAAAAGGGAACTTTTGAGATGAGCATGACTCACATGGGAGAGACCCTGAGTTGAAGGTGGGCCTGGGCCCACAAACGTTCTCATTTGGTAGAGGGACACTCGGTTGAATAACTTTAGCCCCCCAGCTGCCAGGAAAGAGAGAGGCTCCTAGAAATAAACCCTGAGATACAAGTCATATTGTGTGTGTGGGGGGGGGGTCTACTGTTATGTTTCTTTTCCCCCCAGGTAGTAGCGTAGGATTGCCCTCTTGGACTCTGTTCTCCACTTGGCTCTGACATTTGGCATACGGGGCTCATTCCCTGTTGACTAGATGAGCCATGATTTACTTTGTATCTGGCACATGGGAATTTAGTTTTCCCCCCCTACCTCACACAAAGAGGCTGCAAATACCTCTGAATATCTTTGAAGGTGAGTCATTGCAGTTTCTCTGCAGGATTGTCGCTTCTAGATTCCTCATTCTAGAAGCTGGATTATATTCTAGAAGTTGGTCCGAGGCTACGTGCGTGGCCAGAGCATCAAATTGCCATTGAAAACCTGCATTATAAGACCGAGCCTCCTAGCGCACCTGAGCACCCATCTTGCTCACGGTCAACAGCAAGTTTTTCATTTGGCAGTCATGACGGGGAGGGACTGTTTCAGTGTATTTGTATTTGGCTACTTGTGAGTTAGTTTGAGCATCTCTTCAGAGGCTTAAAAGCCGTCGGAGATCCATGTCTAAGCATAGATCCGAAAGCAGTGAACACAGGGATGCGAACAGGTGTTTGCGGCCCCGTGTTCACAGCAGCCGGGGTACGGAAGCAGCCCGAGTGCCCCTCGATGGCTGAAGGATAAACCAAATGTGGTCCATCAACACAGCAGAATCGTACTCGGTCTTAAAAAGGAAGGACATTCGGACACCTGCTGCAATGCGGATGAACCTTGAGGCCATTATGCGAAATGCAAGAAGCCAGGCACGAAAGGACAAATGCTATATGATCGCACTTACGTGAGGTCCCTAGAGGAGTCCCATCCATGGAGACAGTGAGCCGAGTGGTGGGAGCCAGGGGTCGGGGGAGGCGGATGAGGAGTTGGTGTTTTCATGGGGTCAGAGTTCCAGTCTGGAGTGATGGAAACGTTCTGGAGATGGATGGTGGTGATGGTGACATGATATTGTCTGTGTACTTACCTTCACCGAACTGGACACTTAACAATGGTTAAGATGGGGCGCCTGGGTGGCTCAGTCATTAAGCGTCTGCCTTCGGCTCAGGTCGTGATCCCAGGGTCCTGGAGTCGAGCCCTGCATCAGGCTTCCCTGCTCAGCGGGAAGCCTGCTTCTCCCTCTCCCACTCCCCCTGCTTGTGTTCCCTCTCTCACTGTCTCTCTCTCTGTCAAAGAAATAAATAAAAATCTTTAAAAAAAGAAAACAATGGTTAAGATGGTAACTTTTATGTTTTGTATGTTTTACCACAATTAAAAAGACTTTATTTTTCTTTAAGATTTTATTTATTTATTTGAGAAAGAGAGAGAAGGAGCAGAGGGAGAGGGAGAAGCAGACTCTCTGCCAAGCAGGGAGCCCGACTCTGGGCTTGATCCCAGGACCCGGAGATCATGACCTGAGCCGAAGACAGATGCTTAACCGGCTGAGCCACCCAGGCACCCCTAAAAAAATATTTTTAAAGCAAAACAAAAAAAACAAAAAGCCTTCAGAAAGCACTGTCAAGGGTGCAAATTAAGGGCCCCCGTCCAGGCATTGGAATCAAAATCTCCCTTTGTTCCCGAAGGTTCTAAAATCCTGCCAGGCCTCACCAGGTTGCAAGCACTAGGGTAGCGGAAGAAACCAATGCGAGGTCTCTTTTGGGGGGATGCCTTAATTCCTGGCCTGGCTGCTTCAGCTGGGAGCTGCTCTTCGGGGCAGATGGGAGCCTCCCTCACTGACACCCTGCTGTCCTTGTGGCTCTCTCACCAGCTTCATGTACTGGACGGACTGGGGAACCCCCGCTGAGATCAAGAAGGGGGGGCTGAATGGTGTTGATGTTTACTCGCTCGTGACGGAAGACATCCAGTGGCCCAATGGCATCACCCTGGGTACGTCCTTGGGACCTGGGTCCCTGGGGTCAGGCGCCGTCTGGAGGAGAGGGAGCAGTGGCCAGGCTGCACCTGAAGAAGCAGATGCAGCTTCCTGAGGTTTTTATAACCTCCCGCTAACCCGCGCCAGTGTGGGGTTTGGGCTCACCCAGGGAGGTGGCCAGTTGGGCCTGCTTTTCGGAGCACCTCTCCACTGGCTCCTTGGGCGGGGTGCGCCTTCCTGAGGGTGGGGGGAGTGGCCAGGCCCAGGCCCCTTTGGCATCGGCATGTGATCTCTTCCTTGTCCACCTGTGGGTTCTAGATCTTTCTGTTGGCCGCCTCTATTGGGTCGACTCCAAGCTCCATTCCATCTCCAGCATTGATGTCAATGGTGGGAACCGGAAGACCGTTTTGGAGGACAAGAAAAAGCTGGCACACCCCTTCTCCTTGGCCATCTTTGAGGTAGTGCTTGAGGGAATTCACATCCCAGTGCCGGTTACGGAGCGCAACTCATGGGCGAGGCCTAAGTGCTCGTGCTGACGGGTCAGCCCATGTCATCTGGCTTGGTCAACAGGACCAACTTAGAAAACGGAAGTTATTTCCATTTTCTTCTCCACAAAAGAGGAGTTTTTGTTGGTTTGTTTTTTTGTTTTTTTAAGTAAACTCTACCCCCACCGTGTGGCTCAGACTCACGACTCTGAGATCAAGAGTTTTAGGCTCTGCCGACTGAGCCAGCCAGGCACCCCCTACTCACCCAAAGAGTCTTAAAGCAGCGGTTCTCACTTGGAGGCCATCTCAGGGCCCAGGGGACATTTGGCACTTTCTGGAGACTTTTTGGTTGTTGCACTTGGAGGGGAGGTTACTCCTGGTACCTAGTGGGTAGAGGCCTAGGAGGCTGCTAACCGCCCTACAGAGAGAAAAGGGGGCCAACCACTGCGGGGAAACCTGCTCTGAGGAAACGTTATATTCGTGCACCCTTGTTTGAGGGGCGTGAGTCACAGTAGCCGAGAGGTGGAAGCAAGCTGGGTGTCCGTCGGAGATGAAGGGCTAAACAAAATGTGTATCTTTACAGTGGAATGTGATTCAGGAAACAGGGAGGAATTTCTAACACACACTAGAACATGGAGGGGCCTGGAGGCAACTAAGCCAGACACAGGAGGACAAATCCTCTTTGATCCCACTTCTGTGAGGTCCCTAGAGGAGTCCCGCCCACAGAGACAGGAAGTACATGGTGGGAGGCAGGAGTGGGGGTGGGGAGTCAGTGTTTCCTGGGGACAGAGTCTCAGTTTGGGGAGATAGAAAGTTCTGGACACGGATGGTGTGATGGTTGCACCATCTGTGGCATTGTACTTAATGCCACAGAACACACTTAAAAAGGATTAAGATGGCCGATTTTAGGTTGTGTCTATCTTACACAGTTAAACATTTTTTAAAAAAGAAATGAGGCTCGTACCACCCAGTACCACTTTCTCCCAGAAATTCGGGTGTCCTATGCCCTTGACTAATGGGATCTGCTGTCTTCTTTAATTGCTCATATAGGATAAAATATTTTGGACGGACATCATCAACGAAGCCATTTTCAGTGCCAACCGCCTCACAGGCTCAGACATTAATTTGGTGGCAGAAAACCTGTTGTCCCCGGAAGACATTGTCCTTTTTCACAACCTCACACAACCAAGAGGTAAAGATGAGGTGACTGCCTCCCCCCCTCCACTTCCCTGCTGGTGCTCTGGAATTTTCTAGAATTTTCTAGCCTTGTTCTTCCCCTAACTTCCTGCCTCTTCCCCATCAGGGGTGAACTGGTGTGAGAGGACTGCCCTCCACAATGGTGGCTGCCAATACCTGTGTCTCCCGGCCCCGCAGATCAATCCCCACTCGCCCAAGTTCACCTGTGCCTGCCCTGATGGCATGCTGCTGGCCGAGGACATGAGGAGCTGCCTCATAGGTAGGGGCACCAGCCTGCCTGGGCGTGGGCGTGCGTCCTGCTTCTGCCACCCTTGTGGCTTTTAGTCCTGCAACTTGACCTTCCTGATCTTGTCTTTGCTCATCTGTCAAATGGAAGACTGAGTAGTCTGAGTAGGGGGTAACCGTAGTTTGCCTTTGTCATGTGGGACACATGAGCTCTGTGCCAGGCTTTTAGACAGACGCTTTTCACCTTTGATGTCTGGTTCACTCTCTCCCAGCCCCTTTGGGTGGTGACTGATTTTAGTGAGGAGATGACCCCCTGTTCAACTTTTCTCATTCTCAGAGAAAGTCTCAGTTTGGGGCCAGTGTGTCTGGAATACTTGTTAATCTCCCTTTCGAACTACAACAAATAACAACAACATAGACATTCGTGTGTTTCAATTATTTTCAGTTTTTTTTTTAAGATTTTATTTATTTATTAGAGAGAGAGCATGAGCAGGGGGAGGGGCAGAGGGAGAGGGAGAAGCAGACTCCCCGCTGAACAGGGAGCCCTATGTGGGGCTCGATCCTAGGACCCTGGGATCATGACACTTACCAGCTGAGCCACCCAGGCGCCCCTGTTTTCAGTCATTTCTTTGGGGCCAATGGCATGTGCTACTTACCGTTGTCACGAGCAGTGGGGCACTCAGGAAATGCTTCTTCTTTCAGGGACTGACCCTCCAGCGACCACCCTGGGCACCTCCACGGTCCCGGTCAGGCCGACGACGGTCCGCTCCACAGCCGTGGAGCCAAAGCACACAGCCAGCCCGTGGTCCGTGGCCAGCCCTGAGTTCACCACGGCTGAGACGGTGACGATGTCCCACCACGGTAAAAGCAGGGGCTACCCTGGCCCCTGGTTTATAGCTTGAGCCTCTAGACAGGCCCCTTCAGGGGCGAAGAGAATCTTGGGGAAGGGATCCAGTGGATTTAGTCTTTGCGCCTGCACTCTTTCTGACATGGCCTGTGCATCTCGGAAGCCTCCGCTTCCCTACCTATAAAATGGGACTAGTAACCATGCCCGCCCACCTCCTGGTAGTAGTGGGGACTACGTGGCCCCAGGTGTGTGGAGAGCTGGAGTGAGTGGCGGCGGCTTACCCCAGAGTCCTCCCCGAGCAGGGGCCTGGGAGCCTGAAATGTTATCAGGGCCCATTCGATGACCTGCTTTCAGGTGTCTGCCCAGCAGGGCCAGGGCTGGGGTGAGGCAGGTGAGGAGCTGCTCACGGCAGCATCGGAGGGGGCACCAAAAACCCAGGACTTAAATCATATTTTACTGCATTGTTGTTTTCAAAAATCAGACCACCAAACTATGGGCCATGGGCCAAATACCTGGTCTTGTAAATATAATTTGATCAGAGCCAGGGTCCCAGTGAGGTCAGGTCAGGCAAATATAGTGTCAGAGCCTGTCTTCCTAAAAATCTGACACTTTGTTATCATGGGGTATTGGCCTTCATTTTTATTTCTTAAAAAACAACACATTCAAATATTACTCAATTACTAAGTGTTTTTTTGTTTGGTTTTTTTTTTTGGCAAGGGGAAGGGGCGGGGTCAGGCTGTAAGTTCTTTTTTTTTTTTTTTAAGATTTTATTTATTTATTTGACAGAGAGAGACACAGCGAGAGAGGGAACACAAGCAGGGGGAGCGGGAGAGGGAGAAGCAGGCTTCCCGCTGAGCAGGGAGCCCGATGCGGGGCTTGATCCCAGGACCCTGGGATCATGACCTGAGCTGAAGGCAGACACTTATCATCGACTGAGCTACACAGGCGCCCCAGGCTTTAAGTTCTGTGCTTGGGGCTAATGCCTGGCTCTCACTGGCTTCATGGAAGACCCGCCATTCATCTCTTTGCCCACCAGAGGGCGCCTGCCCTGGAATTTGAGTGGCCAGAAAAATGGAGCTCATTGATTTTTCTAGCCAGAAAAAAAAGGGGGGGGGCACATCAGCAAGTTTCAGACATTTTTCCCCCAACTCAGAGTAGCTGAAGTCTGTGTCCAGCCATAAACAAGGCAAAGCAGGAACTGCTGTGGTTGAGGGAGGCCAGGAAACCTGTTTGCTTGGGGCGGGTTGAAAAGCCATTTCCCAGACAGGCCCACCCAGGGCTTCTCGCTTTAGGCAAAGGAGCCCTTTTAAAGGAAAAACTTCTCAAGGACCCTGCTGCTGCCTTAGATAATTTTTGTTAAGAAGTTTTCTTAAATACGTGCAAATGTGAAAAAAATCTGTATAAACTCCATACACACACACACACAACAGCGGAATGGATGGATGTCAGTCACTGCTCACCTGCGTCCATGTGGTCCAGGTGTGACTCCTCAGTCCTCGCAGCCTGTCTGCCTGTTTGGAGGACTTTAAACTTTGGTTTGCATGGGGCCCTCACAGGGCTCGGGGGCACACGCGTGCTTCCATAACGAGGTCCCCCCCAGGATTTCTGAACTGGGGACAGCTGACACAGGACTGTGGCACTTGGTGCAGTCCATGCCAGGCCCTGGAATCGCTGAACGCTACTGAGTCAGGTGGTTCTTGTCCCACGCAGACCTGTCTCGTTTCCATCAGACACACAACCAGGGCTAACAAGTCCACCAGTAACCTCACCATCTGCTGGGAATGTACCTGCAGGCTTTTTTTTTTTTTTTAATATAAAGATTTTATTTACTTATTTGAGAGAGAGAGAGAGAACACATGGGAGGGGGGAAGGTCAGAGGGAGAAGCAGACTTCCTGCTGAGCAGGGAGCCGGATGCGAGACTCGATCCTGGGACTCTACGATCATGACCTGAGCCGAAGGCGGTCGCTTAACCAACTGAGCCACCCAGGCGCCCCTCTACCTGCTGGTTTTTGTCTCAAAGACCGGGGTCCTCTTCCTTGGAGCCTCATAACGCTTGGCTAAGGAACCCTCTTAAATCTGCTCTGAGTCACATAATCCTGACTGCTAAGAATAAAGCCCCAGCGTGATGCCTCTCAAACCCGGGAGATGCTCCAAGTTCCTTTGAACTTTTTTTTTTTTAAGATTTATTTATTTTATAGAGAGAAAGAGACAGTGCAAGCAGGGGGGAGGGGCAAAGGGAGAGGGAGAGGATCCCAAGTGGACTCCGGGCTGAGCGTACAGCCTAACATGGGGCTTGATCTCACCACCCTGAGATCAGGACCTGAGCCGAAATCAAGCGTCCAACGCTTAATCAACTGCGCCACCCAGGTTCCCCACCCTTGAACCTTTAAGGACACCAGGAAGCATCCGGCGTTTCCCTCTGTGTGTCGGTTGTCCTACACCTGCTGTGTTTCCCCTGGCCCTCACCGTGGATCTGAGCCTTGCTTTGTCCTTTCCCTCATGCAGCCCTGGGTGATGCTGCCAGCAGAGGAGATGAGGAGAGGCCCAGGAGCGGGGGGGCTCTGTACATCATCCTTCCCATCGGTAAGCGTGCCAGCCCGGCCCACGCCTGGTCCCGGCTTCCTGCAAGATGACCGCTTTGGCCGGCGAGCTGGGCTGGTCCACCTTTTCTCCCAGGCTCGGGGCGGCCCCTTTTCTAGCTTCATTCACTCAAATACAGTTGAGCGCCTACTGTGTGCCAAGCCCGCTTCTGGGTCCTGGGGCCGCACCCAGGTGAGGATGAAGGCTCCCACCCGCTCTGAGCGACCGCTGATGTGTCAGCTGGAGCGGGGGGCGTGTCCCTGAGGGAAGCCTCCTGGTGAACGGTTCTCTTGCAGGGGGAGTCTACCCCCCTACCCCTGACCTCACCCCTATCACTCGCAACTCTGTTAGCATCACACCCGTTATTCCTTTTCTGAGCAAATCGTTTCGAGGTGTTCCTTCAACACCCAGCCTGCTCTCGGAGACCTGCACGTTAGTGCCTTACGGTCGTCTGGCTGTGCATGGACCGACATGGCAGTGGGACCCTCACCTCCCTGCTGGCTGCCCGAAGGTGGCACTCACCCCGACTTCCCAGTGGAGCCTGAGTCTCTCCCACCCTCTGGGCCCTGGCCAGAATTTTTTTATTTTTATTTATTTATTTGAGAAAGAGCAAGAGAGAGAGAAGGAGCAGGGGGAGGGGCAGAGGGAGAAGCAAACTCTCCGCTGAGCAGGGAGCCCGATGCAGGGAACCCGGGATCGTGACCTGAGCCAAAGGCAGATGTTTAACCGACTGAACCACCCTGGTGCCCCTTTGGCCAGAATTTTTTACAAACCTGGGCTGGGTGAGCCCTAGGCTGTCCCCTGGATCGCAGAGGGTCCGGGAACGCCACCCCAGGGCCCACTAGAAATGAGGCCAATAGCACCCGGACAAAAGAAAAGAGTTTTGCCCCGTTGATAGAGAACAGTCCCATTTCTGAAAGATGGGAGGCCCCACTTGTGGTGACTCACAGAGGAAACCTGGAAGCAGCAACCCCAGTGGGGTATTTCTGGGGCAAGGCGGTCACAGTGGGCTTCGAGTTAGAGATTTGTTATGCACATAGGTAGGTTTTTTCCAGGGGATGAGTATGGCTTCAAATTTGAAACAAAAAAACCCCCTATGTACGTCAAAAGACCCAGAGTCTGCCAGTGGTGTCACTTGGGGGGGCTGAGCTGGGTGGCCTCCTGACCAGGCCCCCTTCCCCCCCCCCCCGCCCCCGCAGTACTGCTCATCTTCCTGTGCTTCGGGACCTTCCTCCTCTGGAAGAACTGGCGGCTGAAGAGCATCAACAGCATCAACTTCGACAATCCCGTGTACCAGAAGACCACGGAGGACGAGGTCCACATCTGCTGCAGCCAGGACGGCTACACCTACCCGTCGGTGAGCGCCCCATCCCGCCCAGGAGGCAGGGAGAGCCTCCGGAGCCCTTCTCAGGGTGGGGGATGGACAGCATCAAGAAAAGGGCAGGGGAAGCAAGCCAGTGGGGGCTGGGAGGGAGATCCTAGATAAGGAGACTGGGGCAGGCTTCCCTGAGCTGAAGGCATAGGCTAGGCATAGGCCCTGAGTCTGGTGTGGCTGGACCTGAGAATTGGGGGAGGGGGTGTCGAGGGAGGAGCCAAGGGAAGGGAAGGGATCAGGCAGCTGGGGAGGATTCTGGCTTTGCTCTAACAAGGTGGGAGCCCTGGGGACGGTCCTGGGCTTGGCCTGACTTGGGGCTCACGGGCGCCCTCCGGTGGCTGTCGGGGGGGAAAGACTGGGGCCAAGGTCGGGAGACCAGGCTGGAGACTGCTGGTCCAGGCCAGCTATGAGGGGGGCCAGCCCCCCCCGGGGGGGGGCGGAGGGAGTGAGGCGTCGGTGGCCTCTGGCCATGTTTACTGAACGTTGGACTGATCGCTTCCGGCGTTTATCTTTCTGTTGACAGAGACAGATGGTCAGCCTGGAGGATGATGTGGCGTGAGTTGCTGCCTCTGGTCCTGTCCTTCCCCGGAACCTGCCGCCGCTCACGGGCAGGAAGAACACTTTCTCCCCGGCCCCTTGACCTGCCCCAAACCCTTCCTGAGACCCTGATGCCCTCCCGTTTCATGCAAAGAGAGAGGTGAACCCAAAGTACTGTTGGCGGCCGCAGCCTCCGCGCCGGCAGCCGCCTGGCCTGTCCTGCCAGAGCTTTGTTCTATATATTTATTCGTCTGGGAGGCAGAACGGGCTTCGAACGGCACATGCGCAACGGGTTTAGGTTGGGATTTTTTTTTTTTCTCTTTCTTTCTCTACGAATAGTGGAGAGGAGAAGTCCGAATGAGCTGGAGGGGGGCGCATTTCTGCCCTCTCCAGGGACTGCTCACTTCTTCCGCCTGAGGGACTGCCAGAGCGACCCAGAGGGAGAGCAGGCAAGGGGGCTTGGGACTCGAGAGAACAGGTCCTACCCGCAAGGTCTGGGGTAGCTGCTCTACCCACCCCCACTCTAGCCCGAGCCCCCCAACTCAGGAGTAAACGTGCTCACCTCTGCCTTGCTGGACAGCCAGAGTTCGCTTTTGCTTTGCTACCCCTCTTTCCAAGCGAGGTCTGTGCCCTCCCTCGACGCCAAGACTCTGGCATCTGTCTTGACCTGGCCGAATCCAGCATCCCGGGGGCGGGGCCAAGCGACCCCCAGTCATGCACCAAAACCTCCACGGTTCCCAGGGAAACCTGTGCCACCGGTTGCCCTTAATATTTATTAAGTGCCTGAGATACCCAGTTAGCTGATGCGTGAAGACAGCAGCCTCCAACCTCTAGGAGCATCGTGTGGTCGGGTGTGGTGGTCGGGACCGCCACCCCCGCCCCGGCCCCCTGCAGGTCCCCGTGCACTTTTTTTTTTTTTTTTAGTTCAGGGCTGTATCTTGTGTAACGTTGACATTGTTACTATTTTGCACTGGTTTCTGTTCCGGTTGGGATAGGCTCCCGGGTGGGCGAGAGCCTGTGTAGATGAATGTGAGATCCCGGGGCCTCTCCCCTCACCAAGCGCCTCAAAGCTGCCATCATAAGATTATCCAGCTAGTGTTTCGGCTTCTGTGCAGATGCCCCCGAGCCATTAATTTCCCCAACAAGATGGTTGTGGTTGACGGGTATCCACCAAAAATGTGCATGGCGTTTTAGGCCCCCGGGCTGGGTCACTTCATGGGACTTCTTAAACAAAACGTCTTTCCTATACGATCATCCGTGTCCCATTTACGACCAAAGAGAGAAGAGGCAGGCTTCTGTAGCTTCCTGCCTGATGTCTCCCAGGGCCTGCCCATTGCTCACCGCATGACCACCAAACACTGTGCCCTACCCTGCAGGAAACTGTGAAAGCCTTTTCTCCTTCCGAAGCATGTAAATAATCCCCTGTACAGATCATGGGGGGGGGCTTTTTTGTTATGTTTGCACTTTGTATATTTGTTAAACATGTATCACTTATATATATATGAAACAAAGATCTATTTATTTTTGCAAACCCTGGTTGCTGCATCACTGACCCCTCCGGGGGCTCTGCATTGGGGGACGTCTCTGAGACGCCTCTTCTTTTTGTACAAAGATTAGCGCAAAGCTCTTCAGGAGAATCGTGTCTGTGTTGTATATATGGTGGGTTGCTTTGGGAGGATGGGTTATCGCTTTTTAAACCACTGTACAGAATGTTTTTATAGCCTGAATGTCTGTGATCGATTAAATTTCTTAAATGAACTGCTTGGCGAAACCTGGACCATTTTCTTCCTCTGGTCTCTGGGCTCCTCCGGGTCTGTGCATGCGTGGGACTCCACTCCGCAGGAGATGGATCTACAAAGGGAACATTTCCCCAGAGCTCAGGATGGACTACAGGCTATGGGGCGCTTCCCTGAATTGGGGTTTTGCTAAATCTCCCGCATGCTCATTCACAGAACCAACATCTACTGGGCACCTGGTCTAGGCATGTGGGACACTGCAGTGAGTAAAAGAAGTGATTAAGAGTCTGCCCTCGAGCTGATATTTTAGAAGGGGGAAATAGATACAAACAATAACTATATTTTGGAAGAATATTCTAGAAGAATTTTAAACAGGGTAATGGGACAGAGAAGTGACTGGCAGGGAGAGGACTCCTTTAGAATGGTTCAGGGAAGGATTCTCTAAGAAGGTGATACTTGAGCTGAATCCAGAAGCATAAACTGGGGGAAGAGTGGCTGGCGCTGAAACCTTCCCACCTGGTTCAATCAACACATGATTTCCAAAGGAAGCTTCCCTTCAAACCCTTTGGGCTTCTGGAGTGGTTGATGTGAGGTTTTCTTAAAGGATGAGACAAAGGATAAACACCTATGAAATTAATTGCTAAGAGAGCAAGAGATTTCACAACACAAATCCAAATAATCATGAGTTCGGGCGATTTCTCAAATTCCATAGTAGCAACATTTGGCTAGAGCTGTGGGCGTCCAGCTACATATGTCCGCATTCTTTTGTGCACCCCGGCTTTACTGGAGTCTGGACCTGTAGGCAATTTAGACCCCTTTCCTTGAGCATGGCAAATCAAACCACAAGTAGTCTAGGTGGATTTGTCAGGGGGGGTAGGGTCAGGAACACAGAGGTCAGCGGATAGAACTTACTTAATATGGGGAACTAAGTGTAAAAAGATCAAATGGGGCAAAAAAATCAAATGACATGCCACCTCACACTCTAGGTCCCTGGAGAAGTCAAATTCATAGACATGGCAAGTAGATGGTGGGCGCTGGGGGCTGGGGGAGCAGGGTGGGGAGTGAGCGTTCAGTGGGGACAGAGGTTCAATGTGAGAAGACTAGAAAGTTCTGGAGACGGATGGTGGTGTTGGCAGCACAACCATGTTATTGTACTTGATGCCCCTGAAGTAGACGCTTAAACACGGTTAAGATGGTAAGTTTGATGTTATGTGTGTCGGAACACGATTTAATACTAAATGATAGTTTTTTTAAAGACCAAATCGGGGAACAATGAGGCAGCCAGCCCTAAGCAACACTGTAGGGTGGGGCTGGCGTTACTGGAACCCGGGAGGGAGCTGGTGGGAGCCTTGCCGGAGACCCTGTGTAGGGCAGAAAAAGGGGAGAGTCAGCTTCTCCCCTCCTCCCGGTGCCCTCTCCCACCGGCGGCCCCCGTTGGCTGAACCCAGCAGGACCTGGGAATGGGGTCCCCTGCCTTACAGGGCAAAGGGAGGGAGAGCAGAAAGGGGCTGGGAGGGGGCTACCCAGAGTGCCGGACAGTGGGGCCAAGCCACTTAGATTGAGATGGGTGACCTCGGGCCCGCGAGAGCCTCAGTTTTCCCCAACCGAACCGGGCCAGCGCTAATCCCCGCTCCCAGGCTGCGAGCGTGTCGGCGGCTCTGCGCATGCCCGGAACGCCGGCGCGGAGGGCCTGTTATCTCTTCTGTGTCCACAGGGTGGCACTTCCTTCCTTCCTTCCGCCTTTTGTCTTGGGAAGGTTCCAAAATGCCTCTGGGGGTGAGAACTGAACTGACCGCACAGGAAGCGGCCCGGGCCCGCACGCGGACGGTCGATAATTGGTTGATTGACTGATTCCATGCTCAGCCGCGTGGCAAACGGGACAAATGAGGGTAAATGGCTTGGCAAACAGAAGGGGCCTGGAGGTGGCCCGAGGATGCAGCGAGGGGAAGGTGGCAGGACTGGGGGAGGGGGCGTCCCTGGGCCAAGGGCACGCATGGGAGTGGCCAGAGTTGATGGAAGCTTCTGGTGTCTGGCTTCGGCTGCTTTCTGTTAAAGGACTGATGACTGAAATCCTTCCTCGGTCCCCGCACGGCGCCCCCTGCATGTAGCTAGCGCCCATTTCACAGATGGGAAAGGGGAGGCTCGGGTCACTGGGCTCAGCTCAAGCAGCTCCGAGGGGGGACCTAGTTGCCACCCCGTGGCTTTCCCTACTGGCTACGAGGGGTAGAGGGGATGGATTCTTAGGGCTCAGAACAGGGTCCCGTATCGGAAGGCCACAAGTCGGACTCCCCGGTCTGTGGGCTCAGCACCAGAGCTCCACGACGGTGCTGGTTGTGCAGGGGTAGAGGCATTCTGCAGCTTGGGGGCTGTCACCCCCAAGGACAAGGTGGGGGGCTGGCGGTCCTGTCCTCAGCTCTGAGGGCTCAGTAGCTCTGGCCAGGACAGGGTGGGTGGTGGGAGAAAGCTGCTCCCCTAAGCTTGATACCCCCAACTCGTGTCCTCTGCTGCTCCCCACCCCCACCCCTGGCAGCCCAAACCACAGCTGCTTGCGGTGAGTCAGGCTGGAGCCTGCGGGGCTGAGCCCAGGTCTGAGGGGGAGAGGGGAAGGGGAGGGCTGCCCGCACGCCACAGCTTCCCCAGCCAGCCCCTCCCCCACTGCGGGGGTCAGTGCCTCCTTCAGTCCCCCAGGAAGTGAATTCTCCGATGAAGGATGAGGGAGAGGCTGAGGGCTCTGACTGTGGGTGAGCCCTGGTCACATCAGCCACCCCACGAAGCAGGGCAACCGAGTTGGTCGGGGGCGGGGGGTTGGAGGCGGGCAGCCCGGGGGACTCCTGGGTCTGATCCAGCCCCCACTCGAGGCAGCTCGGGTTCCAGCCCTGCTTCCTGCCCTCGGGGGAGGGGCTCCCTCCTACTGGAACCCCACCCTCCCAGGCCCAGCTGCTCTGCTTATCCTGGCCTCTGCTCCCACGCTGTGCCTGGGACGGAGGGGGGTTAGCTCGCGGTTCACGGCAAGACCAGCCCCCTAGAAACGCTGGGCTACTGCAAGGTGGCCTGTGCTAAAAGGCTGTCATCAGGCTCCCTTTTCCTGGGCCCCAACTCTGGTCCTGCCTGTAATCTGAAATCCTCTCCAGATCTTACAGGGGACTGCAGGCTCAGCAGGATCAAGCAACCACTCCCTACTCCCGACCCTCCCTGTGGGATCAAGCCCCCTGCTTCAAGGTTCAGGTCTCACAGTTCCCACAGGCCGCTTGGCTACCCCTGAACACCCACCTTTGCACTTGCTGTTCCCTCTGCCTGGATCACAGTCTCCACACTTTGGTACCCTGGACACTCAAGTCTGGGCTCCAAGGACCCCGCCTCCCCAGAGCCTCCCCCAACAGTAACAGCATTTATCACTAACTGAAAGTTGGAGTTCAGTGCCCAAACTCTGGGTCCAATCCAAAGCCTGGCTCTGCCGCTGTGAGAACTTCACACCAATAACTGGTGGACTCTCTGTGACTCAGTTTCCTCTTTCTGGACCCATGAGTCTTGACCTCCACTGCAGTGTGGCTCCCTGATGGGGGGAGGGGGCGGGGGGGGGCTGGCCTGCTGGGTCACAGATGCCCAGTCCACATTTCTGAGTCAGTTGGGGAGGTCGCGGGAGGTCCCGGGACCACACTCAGAGAGTCCCCAGGAACCCAAGCACTGTCATGAGGACGCCCTGCAACCGGTCTTTCCGGCCTCTCCCCTGCCAGTCCAGAGAGATCAGATAATGGCCTCACATCCAACAATGGAGGTTTGAATCCAGCCCTGGACCTTGTCCCCCAGGCACATGCACTCACCCGCCCTCTTGATCTATAAGCTAGGAAGAGCTCTGAGCACCGCTCACACTGGGCCTGGGGGTGGGGGACACTGGGTGGCCCCACCACGGCGATGAAGGCCTGGGGGTTTAGAGGAAGAGGTTGAGTGGGCCCCTCGGAGGCAGTCAGCCTTGGGACTGGACTCAGGACTGCCCAGTGTGAGGGCCTTAGGTCTCCCTCGAATTCCCTGGGCTCTTTCTCCAGAAACACCAATTACAAGCCAGGTCAGCTGGGCCTTCGGATGTCTGACTCGTGGCCACCTATCCGTGATGACTTTATCTGGAACGTCAGCTTTGCAGCTCCAACACAGGCGTGGGTTCGTCATTGCTTGGCCTCTTTCTACCCAGGTCACCTTGAAAAAGGGGCCGCCACCTCTGAGGCTGTTCCTCCATGGATCCCACAGCCTCATTGTGGAGGTTCAGACTCCCGGGGTGTCACTGTCCTGTGACTTTGGGCAGGTGACCAAACCAGTCCATGCCTGTCGCCCCATCTGTAAAATGAATTCTCTTTACCGGCTTGGGATGGCGCTGGGCCCGTGCTGGCCCTGAGGGGGTGCAGGAGGAAGGGGGTCAAGCCTCAGCTCTCCAGGCGCAAAGCCAGTGACCCGGCTCCCCACTCCCCGGGCCTGGGGACACGAATCTCGGTCCTCCCTCAGCCGGGCTGGGCCAAACCCTCAGCAGGCCTGTGGCCGGCCTCCAGAATTCAGGAGCTGGTGACCACCACTGCCGGGGCGGCTCTCAGAGGAAGGCCGAGCAGGAGTGGGGGTAGGGGTGCACACTGGAGGCCATGGGCCTGAGGCTGTCCTGCCGGCTGTCCCAGGCATCCAGCCAGCACCGGGCAGTGAGTCAGGGCCCAGGCATGCAGAGGGCCGGGGCCTCTCCAGGCCCCTGTGAGCTCAGGCACCTCCCTAAACCCGCCCGCCGGGCCACGTTCCTTACCCGCTTGCTCATTCCTTCGGCCAGTCCCAGGGGGCTGCCTGGGTAGACAGAGGTACACAGCCACTCTGAGCCTGGGTTCATGCAGCCTCCCTGAAGGGACTTTCTCCCTCTTGGAGAAACCGAGCTCCAGGCAGGCCAGCACCTCCTTGGCCTCCTCCCAGAACCAAGCAAAGCGATTACTTGGAGGGAGAGTGGGCCTAGGGCCTGGGCCTGGGCCAAGGGCACTCACAGGCTCTGGTCTGTAACAACCTCTGCCCCCCACACCTGCTTTGTCTCCCAGGCACTCTGCGTCTGCAGGTTTGCTCGATCCATTACAAGGATGCGTGCCTCATTGCCTGCCCCGCAGCTCAGCTGGGCTGGGTCGATTCGCACATGCTCTTGGGGCCCCCGGGCGGGGTGCACTCCCGGCACCTTCACCCGTTCCGTCAAGCAGGTGGAGGCCAGCTGCGTTAGCGGGAACGCCCATCAGGGAGACAGCTATTCATGTGGATGCCTGGCTGGTTCTTGGCTGAGGCTGCAAGGTGTGGGGGGGGTGAGGGGGTGCTGCCTCGTGCGTGCTCCACGTTTGTCATGACTGAGGGGGTGTTCCTGGCATCTAGAGGGCGGGGGCCAGGAATGCTGCTAAATGTCCTGCGATGCCCAGGACAGCCTGTACCACAGAGAATGACTGGCCCCGATGTCCCTAAGGTGGGAAAACCCTGTTCAAGTTCAAGTCTTTTGCCCTTTGGAGACCGACAGTACAAACAGGAGGCTCTGCGCCCATTTCATGCCATAAAAGACCCTACTGATCTTGAAAATGAAAACAGCTCAGGAGGGCTTATGAGAACATTTACTCGAACACGTAAAACTGAGGAAGCCCTTGGCATAAAAACAGGGCCTCTGAAGTTTGGGGAATTTTTGTGAACCGAATGAACTGGCCCATTTCCCTAGAGCCTGACAGGCAGTCTTCCTTGCCCCAGAACCTCCAAGGGTGACCTGAATGGACTGTGTCTAGTGCCCATGATGTGCTCAGATGCTGCTAGAACTTACTGCTCCCTCTGCCTAGAATGCCTCCTCTCCAATTAAAGACACTTATCGTAACATTGCACCTACTAGAAACAATTCAGTTTACAATTCAGTATACAGACGTGCACGAAACCCCAGACCAAAGGACCCAGAGGCTCGTGTGACCGCAACAAATCTACTGACCAGGCTTTACGTTGAAGGCAGCCAGTTAGGTTTGAGGGGAACCTCCTTCCTGTTCTCTACCCTCAGGAAGGCAGGCTGGCCGTAAGCTTCCCATTCTTAGTGGTACCCCAAATCACTGAGGATGGGGGGTAGGGAGACACATAGATTGGCCTGGGTTGTATGCTGCATCAGTTAGATTTACTTTAGCTGTGGGGTGCCTGGCTGGCTCAGTCAGTGGAGCATGCGACTCTTGATCTCAGGGTCATGAGTTCGAGCCCCATGTTGGGTGTGTAGAGATTATAAATAAACAAACTAAAAAAATCCCAAACCAAAACAAAAAAAAAAAAAACAGTGGCACACGCAAGATAACTTAGTCTCCCCCCACATAAAGAAGTCCAGTACTAGGGCACCTGGGTGGCTCAGTCCGTTGAACGTCTGTCTGACTCTCGATCTCAGCTCAGGTCTGGATCTCAGGGTCATGAGTTCAAGTCCCATATCGGGCTTCTACGCTGGATGTGGAGCCTACTTAAAAAAAAAAAAAAAAAGTCCAGGGGTGCCTGGGTGCTCAGTTGGTTAAGCATCTGACTCTTGATTTCGGCTCATGTCATGACCTCAGGGTCGCGGGGCTGAACTCTGCATCGGGCTCTGCGCTCAGCCCAGAGCGCACTTGCCCCTTCCCCTCTGTTCCTCTCTCTGCTCGCACTCTCTCTCTCTGAAATAAATAAATAAGATCTTAAAAAAAAAAAAAAAAGCCCAGCGCTGCTGAAACCCGGTTCCACGGTCATCAGGGAACCGGGCTCCCATCCACCCTAGAGGATTGCATCCCGCCTCTCGTGTGGCAATGGGACTGCCAGGGCTCCAGCCTCCACCTCCAAATTCCAGTTCTGGGCACACAGTGGCACTCAAAGATATGCCCCAAGTCAATACAAAAGGGCCCAACTCGAATCACAAATGACAAAGATGCAGGACATGTCCTCAAACACTACAGCATCGTTCCTACAGGGTGGCCATGACGTGAAGCTGCAGGTCTAGCCGCAAGGGCAGTTCTCCGAGGTTACCTAGCCAAGGCCAGGCCAGCACTGAGGCCGAAGGCCAAAAGAAATCCAGTAACAAACTGCACTTGTATGTAAACATTTAATGTTCAGCTCATCTCACCACTGAGGCACCGACCACCCACCACAGCTGCTTTGTGCTGTGGATGGACATGTCCCCGAGGTTCCAGGCTACCAGTCCGTGTCCACCAGGCTCCAGAGATAGTCGCTGATGAACTTCTTGGAGAGCTGGGTGCTGTCCAGGTGGATAGGCTGGGCGACACTGGGGCCGTGATGGACTGAGGGCACAGATGTAAGGAAGCCTGACACACACAGCGCCCCCCCAACCCCGGGACCCCAGGAGCAAAGGATACTGCCTCTGAAAAAATTGTATGATGATATTTAGAGACCAAACGAGATTTCTGTGAACAAAAAGTTAAATTCTGATAATGTACTATCTTTTTAAAAAATTGTGGTGAAATACATGTAAAATATACCACTTTAACCAGTTTTTAAGTGTAGAGCTCAGTGGCATTAAGTACATGTACGGGGTTGTGCAACCATCCTCGCCAACAGTCTCCAGAATGTTCCATCTTCCTGAACTGGAACATGGACTCCCCTCCCCCTCCCCCCAGCCCCTGCCACTTACTTCCTGTCTCTGCGGCTTTGACTCCTCTAGGGACCCCTCCTGTCCGTGGAATGAGACAGCAGTTCACTTTTTGTGTCTGGCTGGTTTCACGTGTCATGTCCTCCAGGTACATCCATGTTCTAGCATGTGCCAGAACATCCTGTCCTCCCTTTCTAAGGCGGAACACTACTTTAAGGCATGGATACACCACAGCATGCTCGTCTAGCAATTTGCTGAGACATCACTGGGTTGCTCCCACCTTTCGGCCGTTGGGACCAACGCAGTCATGAACACAGGCGTACAAATAGCCGTCCGAGTCTCTGCTCTCCGTTTTATTGTGTTTATGCCCAGAACCAGGACTGCGGGGCCGTCTGGGGACTCGGGGGACCTGCGGGCCTGCTGCCCACAGCGGCTTCAGCACCTCACATCACCACCGGCGCACCAGGCTCCACTTTCTCCACAAAGGATACTGCCTTTGACCATTCCCGGCTCACTCTCATAGTCCCACACAATTTTACTAATTCGGTGATAAAGTTGAGCCACATACCTGAACGAGAACACAAAAAAAGAGACAAAGAGAGAAAAGAAAGTCACCCCAGCAGAGACTCCAACTCAGTTGCAAGACCGTGCCCGACACCGGCCATGCCACCCCACACGCGCTGGAGGGACCTACACGGCCGAGGGGATGGTGACAGTCGTGTCTTCGTCAACTTCCCTCTCCTGTCTCTCCAGACTGGCCTCGATCTCCTTGAGCTCCTCCAGCTCTCGGGTGAGCTGAGTAAAGCAGGCAGTTAAGGTCACCTCACTCTGGAGGGGGGCTGCCCGCGCGAACTCCAGCCGTGGGGGTGCCCAGGGACCCCGGCTCTAGCATCCACGAGCTGGCGTCTCTGGGGTGAGCCCGAGGCCCCGCCGCCGCACACACACGGAAGGATATAGGAGGCTGGCCTTCAGACGGGTTTCCTCCTCGCCGGCCTTCCGAAGCTCAGCTTTGAGCTGCTGCAACTCGACACCCCCGTGGTGCGCCCGCTCCTTCGCACCAAGAAGGCTCTGGGCCACTTCTTCCTCCATGGCCAGGATCTCTGGGGGACGGGGGGGAGGAGAGAAGGTGGAAGCCCTTCAGAGTGGTTTCTCCAGGGTCTGCCCTTGCCCCAGAAGAGCCTGAGGACAAAGGGGGGGCCGGTTCATGCACCTGAGGTCTCAGCCACTCCTCACTTCCCTGTCTACGGCTCCCCAACCTGCGATCCTATTTCCAAAAGCCCACCACTCAGGTCCACCCGGACCTTGTAAAAGTGCTTCCATTTCACCAAAACACATTTGAATCCTCCAAAAAAAAAAAAAAACGAATGAATGAATAAAGAAATCAATCAACCAACCAACCAACCAATCAATCCAGTCCTTCTTTGCACACCTAGTCTTAACTTACAATGTCACGGTCAACCTTGTTGCCCAAGCAAGAAGCTTGGCACTCACTTCCCACATCCAATTAGTGATCCAGGCCTGGCCAGTCCCCTCCTCCTGGCCAGCGGCAATCCCCTCACAGGTCCCTCCAGTACCACCCAAACAGCCTCCTCCTTGCTCCCTGCTTGCCAGTCCCTTCTCTCTGCCTCCAGTGTGGCTGCCTTAGAGAGCAAATGTGAAGTCACTCCCCTGCTCAAAGACCACCCATGGCTCCCTAGTGTCTCCACGATAAGGTCCAGGTCCCTCTGAGCACCTTCAACTTCCCCGACAGCCTTTCTCCCTGCTTTTCAGCCCACCGTGTACTCTTCCCTCTGCTCTGGCCACAAAGACACCTCATCATTCTTCAAACAAGCCCCATTTTTCACAGGCCTGGGCCTCCACCTGCCTGTCCTCTGTGGGATGCCACTGTGCTCCTGCCCATTGCATACTCCTGGACTCAGCCTTCAAGACCTCCTGGGCAGTGCACAACTCGGGCAGCTGGACACTCTCCTCCCCCTCCTAGGGCGCGGCCATACTTCCATGACAGCCCCTCCAGCACTGAATGATTCACTCCTCCTTCTTCCTCTAATCAGGCATTGCATCTTACATTCACCATAGATCGCCAGCACCTACTCAGAATAAACATGCTTTGAACAAAACATCCAGAAAGATCAAAAACACCCTAACAAGGTTACCATGTTTCTTCCCGTGAAGAAACCCGCCAACTCAGAGAAGACACAGAAGGAAATGCTTCCCAAAGGGCTGGCGTTTAAGTGTTTACAAACTTACATTAAGTTAATTTTTCATCAAAATAGTACATGTATATGGCTGTGAAAACTTAAACACACACAGGCACACCCCCCTCCCCAAGCCTCTCCACCCCTCTGAAGCAGCCACTTTCAACTCATCACTGTTTTCTCTGGCATTGACCTTCACATTTCTAAATAATTTGCTTATGCTGCTATTTCTTGATTTGTCTGTTTTAAACAGTGCCTGCTGATTTCCTGTTAGGGTAGCTGAGGGACTGGCTCTCTTCTGCAGCCTTCCAGCCCCTTCTCCCCTCACCTTCCCCACAGACAACCGAGTCACCTTGGATTCTTCCCTGGGAGGGCCCTCCTCCCTCACAAGCCTCTGAGGGAGGTGGCTTAACCCCTGCCCCCACGGAGAGGTGAAGGACAGAAGCCCCAAGATGTTCAGTGACTTGTCCACAGGCACTTAGCTCTGAGGCCTGGATCTGAACTGGATCCCAGTGTACCAGCTCCTTGGTACACTGACTCTTGTCTCGCCAGCCCCAACTCCATCCATTCTGCTAAAACCCAGGCAGTCTGGGTGATGCCATCTGCTCCCCAAACCATCAATGGAGGGGGAGCGAATGGAGTGGGGAGGAGAGAGAAGAGAGAAAAAAGAGAGAGGAGGCGGAGAGAAGGGGAAGACTCGGACTGGGGCATCCACCACACTTAGAACAACCTCCAAACACCTCCTGGGGGGCTCACTGCCGGCAGGGCTGGCTGTGGCTGACCTCACCTGCACCACTTTCTCCTGGTGTCCAGGAGTATGCAAGTTCACTCTCAGCTCGTGACCTTGGCATTTGCAGTCACCTCTGCCAGGAACATGCTTCCTCCAAGCCATCCCCTGCCTAGCTCCTAGGTCATTTCAGTCTCAACCCAAACAGTATCTCCGCATGAAACATAACTGTAAAAAGGCATTAAAAAACAAACAAACAAAAAAAAACCCTGGAACCGAAACCACTGTGGAAAACTGGATGACAGTTTCTCAAAAAGTTAAATATCAAATTACCATGTGATCTAGCAATTCCACTTGTGGGAAAATACAAAAAAAGATTTGAAAGCAGGGACCCAAAGAGATATCTGCACACCCATGTTCATGGCAGCATTATTCACAATAGCCGGGGGCTGGAAGCTACCAACTGTCCATCAGTGGATGAACGGACAAACAAAATGAGGTGTGTCCATAGACTGGAATAGTATTCAGCCCTAAAAAGAAAGGAAATTCTGACACGTTACAATATGGATGAATCTTCAAAACATTGTGCTAAGCAAAATAAGCCAGACAGAAAATGTAAAAAATAATAATAAAAAGAAAATAAGCCAGACACAAAATTCCAGGATTCCATTTTATATGAGGTCCCTAGAATAGTCAAATTCATAGAGACAGGAAGTAGAATGGTGGGTGCCAGGGGCTGGAAGGGAAATGGGGAGTCAGCGTTTAATGAGTACAGTTTCAGTTGGGGATAATGAAAATGTTCTGGAGACGGATGGTGGGGATGGCTGCACACTGATGTGAATGTGCTTATTGCCACTGAACTGGACACTTAAAAATGGCTAAGTGCTATCACTGGTCCCATTTCATAGATGAGGACACTGAGGCTTGAGAGGCAGCCACTGGACTGGGGCCGCAGCGCTCATGAGTTACCTGAAATCCAGGTCGCAGGCTGGGCAAGCCCCTCACCTGTGGGAGAGGCTTGATCTAGCCCTCTCTGTAGCATATTAAGATATTTATTAGCAAAGCTTTTTCCCCTTAGCTTTAAGAGTCTTACATTTGAAGGTGTCTTCGATTCCATGTAAATGGTATTATCTATCCACTTTCCTCTCCATGTAAAGCAGGGGGCACCTTACCAGCACCGATTTATTTAATCCTCACCATAGCCCTGGCTCCCTCCCAAGCCTCCTTGGGTTTCTGCTAAAACATCATCTTTTCAGAAGGCTTTCGCTGACCTGCCTCAAAACATCACCACTCCCTCCTATACAACCCAGTTTTTCTCCTTAGCCCGTCACCTCCTTACTTACCCATTTTCCTTGTTTATCCTCTGACCGCCCCCCCCCCCCCCCCCCTAGCATTAACAACCCTCTCACGGTCCGTTTTGTTCTCTGCTTCTAACCCAGAGCTGGTACTCTACCTGGCACACGGCAGGTGCTCAATAAAACAGCTGAACAACCTCAGGAGGGGGGATGCTGGGACTAAAACCCAGCGCTTTGACTCCTGAGCCCCACTTCGGACCCTGAGTCCCCCAGCTCCTGCTCACGGAACGCTCAAAATTGGGCCAGACCCTGAGAGCTCCTATATTCACCAACTAACTCCCTGGGAGGTGGCTGCCATCCTGAAGCCCATTTCACGGGCGGGGAAACTGAGGCTCAGAGGAGGCAGTGTCTACGGGAGAATGGGGCAGGGATGGGGGGCCCAGGAGGGAGGGTTTTGAGGCGGACCTGCTGCCCCCTGCCATCACGCGGACCCGGGTCCCGGCCGCCCCCCCAGCCCTGACCTCGCAGCCGTTGCTCGGCGCTGTCTTGCGTCTCCAGTAGCCGCTCCACCACCTGTTCGTGGCGTCCCAGCAGCCGCCGTTGCTGCGCCTCCGCGCGGTTGGCGCCCAGCAGGCTCAGCAGACCCTGGCTCACCTCTTCCATGTCGCGGAAGGCAGCCATGACTACGCCAGGACCATTCCCGCGCAAGTTTAACTGCCCGCAGGGCCCGCCCCTTTCCCGAAGAGTCCCGTTTCCATTGGCTTGATTCTCCGTCAGTCATCAGAGAATGGGCGGGAGGTAGCTTCAGGTCTGGCCTAGTGCGCCTGCGCCAGCTCCTCCGTCAGACCAATCGGCGCAGGGAGGGGGTGGGTGGGTGCGTGTGTGTGTCTGTGTCTGTGTGTCTGTGTCTGTCCTGCGCAGGCGGCTGGAAAGCGTCTGGTTTGTCTCCTTGGCTGTAGGCAGCCTGCTGCATCCAGGGCGGGGTTCTAGGGGCGAAACCTTGGACTGCATCTGGTGGAGCTGACCTTCTACAGAGTGTGCGTGGGGTCCTCACAATCAACGTAATAAATACATAAATTCCATAAGAGCCTGCATAGCAAAGTAGAGTCTGCAACCAGATTTATGGGGTTCGAATCCCACTTACTAGCTTTGTTACCCTGGGCAAATGACTTCACCTCCCTGTACCTCCCTTTCCTCTTCAGTAAAATGGGGGTCATAATAGTACCTACTTAGGGGTTGGCGTGAGGATTTAGTGAGGACGGTGCTGGGTATTCAGTGAGCACAATATTAAAGCGTTAAATAAAACCCACATAGAACACTAGCAGGTTGGGCACCCAGCCTCACTGGCACCAAACACCATGCTGTGTGAAGGGTTATAGCAGAGAAAAGAAAAGCTGCACATTTACGTGACAAATTTCTCAAACTGAGGTAAAGAAATCAATTCAGCTGGTCACGAGCAGCATTTTCTACAAAATACAATGGGGGAAAAAATCAGTGCATTGTGTACAGAAAGTTAAGTATTGTTTTGGGAAACTCCAAAATCTGCATTTGTGTACTGGGTGTGACAGATTATATTTTCAAAAAATGGCTACGGAAATAGTTCCAACCTTGACACTCCCTATCAAGAGGCAGACTCATTCTCCTTTTGAACTTCAGCATGACTTTGTGCAACAAATAAAATGTAGCAGAAAGGATACTATGAATTACGAGCCTCGAGCCTGGGTTAGAAACTAGGATGCAGCTTCTGCCTGGTGCTAGCTTGTGCCCTCTCTTGCTCTCTTGCCCTCTCTCAGTTTTGGGATACTTTTTCTCAGAGCCCAGCTGCCATGTTGTGAGGAACCCAAGGTGATGATATAAAGAGTCTCCCAGATGAGGTCGCAGCAGAAGTGAGTGAGTGAGTGAATGAGTGAGTGAGCATGGAAATGATTTCAGCCCCCAGCCTTGGAGCCATCCCAGCTGACACCAAGAGGAGCAGAGATGAGCTGTCCCCACCAAACTGCTGAAACTGTAGATCTCCGAGCAAGATCAATGCCATTGTTCAAAGGCAGTAAATTTGGGAATAATTTGTTATGCAACCGTAACACCTGGAGTGCTGGGTCACAGGTGTAATTTCCATCTTACTGTAGGTCACACGAAAAACATGGAAGGCCACTGCTCTAGTGGCAAGACCTCACAATAAGGAAGGAAACAAATGAACAAGATCATTTTAGTGAGGAACCTGTGCTTTGAAGGCACTCCAGCAGGGTCTAGGATAGCGTCACCGGAGCTGGGGGCAGGGAAGGAAGTGACTTCAGGCTATGTGGCCAGGGACAGGGATGGACTCCCTGGGCAGGGGACATATGAACCATGAACCGGGATCTGAGTGATAAAAAGATGTTGGGAAACCAGCGCCAGGCAGAAGAAAGAGCCTGTGCAAAGGACAATGAAGTGGGGACATTTTTAGTTTGTTTAAGGAATATTGAGGAGGTCCAAGTGGCTGGAGAGGAGGAGGGAGAGGGTTTCCAGGGGTCCTGAAACTTTATTCCGGCATAACAGGAAGCATTGGAAGGCACTGAGTAGAGGAGAGCTATGGAGTGGACTGGCTTCCAGATCTTCCAGAGTCTAGAGAATTTTGGGGCTGGGCTGGATATGCAGAATGAGGAAAAGGAAGAAGTTGCTTCCTGGGTGTTTGACCCAAACACCTGGATGGGTGGTGGTGCTTGTGGCCAAGAGGGAGAGGAACAGGCATGGAGATAAGTATGGAGGGCCCCCTCAGGGCCCCATGCAGTGAAAGGTTTAGGGAAGTTCTTAGTACCTGGGGCATGGCCACATGGAACTATCGAGAAGGTGGTTGCTTGGCTGTGAGTCTGTAGAGAGGCTTAGGCTGTGAATAAAAGTCAGTTGTCCAGATGCACCTGAGACCAGATGCCACCACCCTGGAAGAGAATAAAGAGGAGGAGGTCCAAGGACCAAGCACTGAGACCCCTGACTGTAGAAATTGTAGAAGAGAGGAGAAGCCGGCAGAATACAGAAGGCACAGCCAGGGAGGAAGGAGAGAAGCCAGGAAATGTGATTTTGATTGATCATCAGGACTCTGACAGGTCCCCGACCCCACGCCTGGGGCCACCTTCTTCCTCAGAGCTTCCTTTATTTATTTATCTTTTTAGGTTTTATTTATTTAAGTCATCTCTACACCCAATGTGGGGCTTGAACTCACGACCCTAAGATCAGCAGTCGCATGCTCCTCCGACTGAGGCAGCCAGGCACCGCCAGAGCTTACTTTCATTTTTTTTTAAAGATTTTATTTATTTATTTGAGGAGAGAGAGAGAGATAGTGAGAGAGGGAACACAAGCAGGGGGAGTGGGAGCGGGGAGGACTGGGAGGGGAGCCCGATGTGGGGCTTGATCCCCGGACCCTGGGATCATGACCTGAGCCAAAGGCAGACACTTAACGACTGAGCCGCCCAGGAGCCCCCAGAGCAAACTTTCAAGAGACAGTTTTTGTGACGACTCCAAGGGCTGTTTTTATATTTTTACAGTGGTCGTGGAGATGGGAACACCCTTAGGGCTGATAGATGGATTTAGTCTTATCCAGGTCACAGATCTCTTTGAAATCTGATCAAAGCAGTGACACGGGCTCTTTCTTGAAAAACGCATGCCACATCCATACACGTTTGGATTTTGTGCATATTTTGGGTTTAGGACCCCAGAAGGCCATCCCCAGATTTTTAGGTTAAGAAGCTCTCCAGCCTTTGTCTCCTGGGGTAGCTAGCATTCTTGCTGAAACATCAGTGTGTGGGTGTGGAGTTGGGTCCCCCGAGTCAGCACTCAGGGCGAGCAAGACTCACCTCCTGTTGGCTGGGCATTTAAGCTGATTGCTATGTCACCCTCAGCTGTGTGACCTTTGGTGGCAGGGGCTCATATTCTGTCTAAAGGTGGTGGATTACTTAACAATGCAGAGTGAAATAATGAGGAGATAAGAAGTCAGGGGTTCAGTTTCTGGTTCTGCAGATTACCTGTGACCTTGGCAAGCTCGGAACCTTTCTAAACCATGGGCTAATGATAGCTCTCTCTTATCAGCTGGGGTGGGCTGGTCAGGAGATAAGCCATTTGGGATTGCACAACCATAGCGGACAGATATAGTTGCTCCTGTCAAAAAAGGTCACTCACCTCCCTTCCAAAAAGCAAAGCAAGAACCACCTCATAACCATTAGGATGGGGACTATTTAAAAAAAAAAAAAAAAGTATTGGCGGGGGTTGGGGGGTGGAGAAATTGGAACCCTTGTGCATTGTGGGTAGGGATGTAAAACGGTGCAGCTGCTGTGGAAAATCAGTATGGCGGTTGCTCACAAAATTAAAAATGGAATAACCCAGCACTTTCACTTCTAGGTATATAGCCCCAAAATTGAAAGCGAGGATTTGGAGCTATTTCTAGACCCGACATGATTTACAATAGCCAAAAAGGTGGAAGCAACACAAGTGTTCACTGATGGATGGTTGAACAAAATGTGGTGTATCCGTATGAAAGGATGTTATTCGGTCTTAAAAATTCTGACAGATGCGACATGGATGAACCTTGAGGACATCGTGCTAACTGAAGTAAGCCGGTCACAAAAAGACAACCACTGCATGATTGTACTTATTTGAAGTCCCTCCAGTAGTTAAATCCATAGAGGCGAAAAGTGGACCAACAGTAGCCAGGTGGGGTGGGGTCAGGGGTGGTGAGAGTCAGTGTTCAACGGGCACAGTTTCAGTTTGGGAAGAGGAACGAGTTCTGGAGATGGATGGTGGGGATGGTTACACAACAGTGTGAATATGCTTCATACCACTGAACTGGACACGTAAAAATGGCTTCGGTGGGGGACACCTGGGTGGCTCAGTCAGTTAAGCGTCTGCCTTCAGCTCAAGTCATGATCTCAGGGTCCTGGGATCGAGCCCCACATCTGGCTTTCAGCTTGGCAGGGAGCCTGCTTCTCCCTCTCACTCTGACCCTCCCCGTGCTTGTGCTCTCTCTCTCAAATGGATAAATAAAATCTTTTAAAAAAAAATGTCTTCGATGGGGGTTGCCTGGCTGTCTCAGTCTATGGAGCATGCAACTCTTGACCTCGGGGTTGTGAGTTCGAGCCCCACATTGGGTGTAGGGGTTACTTAAAAAAATAGGGGCGCCTGGGTGGCTCAGTTGTTAGGCATCTGTCTTCGGCTCAGGTCATGATCTCAGGGTCCTGGGATTGAGGCCCGCATTGGGCTCCCTGCTCTGCGGGGAGCCTGCTTCTCCCTCTCCCACTTCCCCTGCTTGTGTTCCCTCTCTCACTTTCTCTGTCAAATAAATAAATTCTTAAAAAACAATCTTTAAAAAATGGCTTACATGGTGTCATGAATATTTTACCACAACTAAAAATAAAAATACATGTATTAGAAAAATGCAAAGCAAGAAACTGGGTGGTGCTGGGGAACGGGGTCTTAAGCATGAGCTGAACAAGTCAACAAAGATGACAAAATGGTCCTTGGCGATTGCTTGTGAGCAACAATATTTTTTATTTCTGGAAGGCCTCTTGGCTCACAGACCCCTCTGGAAAACTGACAGTAGACCTTTAGTTCACACAACTTTACATAAATTTCTGGGACTTCCAAAACCCTCTGAAAGCCCCCCACGATCTCATGGTGGAACGGTCCAGAGGAAAAACAGAGGAGAAGAGGTAAGGAGAGCAAACTTCCATCACCCCACCCTTGGGGGAAGTGAGGAGGGACCCAGAGGTGGGCAGAGAGGATGCTCCACCTCCTGTCTTGGTGTCGCTGACACGGGGATATTGCTTGCCAAAGGCCATAAAGCTATACGCTTTCGTACACGATCTGTGCACAATATGTATGCATAGGGTACCTCAAGGAAAGGCAAACAGTGAACCAAAATTCTAAAGATCCAACCTATTAGAAAAAGGTTTGACGGGAGATACCCCAACGTGTTGACAACAGAGGCATTTCAACCAGTTGGGACCATGGCACCTTCCACCGTGCCAAACATTTCTGTATTTTTAGAATTTTGCCTTTTATAGTCACAATGAATTGTTTTGTCACAAGGAAAAAAAAAATCAGTAAAGAAGTTTTCTGAGGTGTTCACAGTGGGTGTTCATTAAAACTTTCTGCAGGGCGCCTGGGTGGTACAGTCGGTTGAGCGTCTGACTCTTGGTTTCGGCTCAGGTTCTGATCTTGGGGTCGTGGGATCGAGCCCCATGTCGCGCTCCATGCTCAGTGGAGTCTGCTCAGGACTCTCCCTCTGTCCCTCCTGCTCGTGCTCTCTCTCTCAAATAAATAAACCTTAAAAGAAAAAAAAAACTTTCTGCAACCATGGCAATGTTCTGTATCTCCACAGTTTGGTTCAGTAGCCACCAGGCACGTGTGGTTATGGAGCACAAATTAATTATAACTAAGTTACATTTAAATGGAAATAGCCACTTGGGACAGTGCCTGTGTAGTGCAGAGCAGAAGGGAGTTTACTGTATTATTCTTGTCACTTTTCCGTCGCTTTGAACGTTGTTTAAAATAAGTCCATTTTAATTTTTTTTGGAAAGAGAACGTGTGGGTAGGGGGGGTGCACAGAGGGAGAGGGTGAGAGAATCCTAAGCGGACTCCCAGCTGGGTGCAGAGCCCGACACAGGACTCCATCCCATGACCCTGAGATCGTGACCTGAGCCGAAAACCGAGCCAGATGCTTCACCGACCGAGCCACGCAGGTGCCCCCAAATCAGTCCATTTTCAAAAAGAGATCTATCTGAGGGGCGCCTGCCTGGGTGGCTCAGTCAGTTAAGCGTCTGCCTTCGGCTCAGGTCATGATCCCAGGGTCCTGGGATCGAGCCCCGCATCGGGTTCCCTGCTCAGTGGCGGGAAGCCTGCTTCTCCCTCTCCCGCTCCCCCTGCTTGTGTTCCTTCTCTTGCTGTGTCTCTGTCAAATAAATAAAATCTTTTAAAAAAAAGAGAGAGATCTATTTGAAAGCTTAAAGAGGAGTACAAGGAGACAAAGACCAGACACTGATGTGTGGACGTTATCATAAGATAGCTTTATTAAATTCCTTTACCTTCTACAACACGATTACAAAAAAGGAATACTTCATTTAAGTGTAATACTGTCTTTATGGACGTACCGTGGTCGGAAAGTGAAGTTAAAGGTCATGAATACACGTGAGAAGAGCACAGGGACAAAGGCGGGACATCCCTGGAGCCTCGCACGCCAAGCCCCATGGGCAGGGGAAGGGAAAGCAGTGACAAACACGGACTGATCTGGGCAGGGTGGGGGGGCTGTCGCTGAGCGGCTTCTAGGAGCTTAAAATAAACCTAACTGCTGGCTCTGGGGCCAGACACACAGGCACACCACTCTTGTACCCCTTCTCAAAGCTGCCCCAAGTTGTGGCCTTCTGTCAGACACGAGCAGTTGTCCCCGGTCAGCTTTGGCTTTTGTTTTCTCTCCGATTTACACACACACGCGGACACACGTCACCTACGGTGTCTCCTTTGACCGTCCAAAGCTCTTTTGTCCTCGGTACCTCCCTTCAGTCAAAAATCAAAGCAAGCCAGACTCCATCGAGCCAAGAAGCCCACTTTTCTAGGAGAGAAGCCAGCACCTTGCTTTACTGAATGAACACAAGCACTCAGGGCTGTGGTTTGGCTTCAACCCTGGCGGCTGACTCAGAGAACTGGACGAGAGGGGACGGGACACCTATTAGCTGGGGACCTTACTCCCTGTCATAAGGCACTTCTCAAGGCTCCCAACCCATCCTCTGTCCCCGGTTTGTTGTTGTTGTTGTTCACAAAAGGAAGGAACTGGAAAGAAAACTATGTTAAGATTCTGAGGGACAAAACAGGCCATGAAGGAAACTGTGTGTGTCTGGTGAGCCCTATTTCCAGCAGGCTCTGTTCCAGGCAGCTCCGGAAAGCCTGTAGGTTGTTAACACACACACACACACACACACACACACACACACACAGCCTGTAGGTTGTTAACACACACACACACACACACACACAGCCTGTAGGTTGTTAACACACACACACACACACACACACACACACACACACAGCCTGTAGGTTGTTAACACACACACACACACACACACACAGCCTGTAGGTTGTTAACACACACACACACACACACACAGCCTGTAGGTTAACACACACACACACACACACACACACACACAAAACAAAACAAAAAAAACCCCCAAACCCAGCTGGCCCTTGTTTGGTTTTCGGCAAAGCCCTGTCTCTTTAAGTTTGCACTGGGAACCCTCGGGGGCAGCCAACTTTTAATTGTACACACATGGAGTTTTTGGAGCTTGCCCTATGCTTTGCCAGCAAGCGCATATGCCCTTTTCCCCCCCCTTTGAGGAGAGAAATTCTGGAGTCTGGGGAGGCTGAGGACGGCCCCGTTACCAGGGTTCTAAGCCCAGGGACTCAGCAGCTGCTCTGGGAACCGGATTCATTTCCTGCGTCCCCAGGTCTGAAAGATTTTCTAGGAAAATTAATATTTGCCAGGGCCTCCACGCAGGGAGGGGACGGGTTTCTGGGTGATTTTTCGATGTGAACTGCTCACACATCTCGGCTGCTGGGTCCTGAGCCCCCTTACTTGAAAGCAGAAGGAAGGACTCAGCTTCCTGCCCTGAGTGACAAGGACAGAATCTGTTTTGTGAAGAGACCAGAAGAAAATTCTCCCAAGAGAGGTCTTGTGGGGGGGGGAGGGGGGGAGTGAACAAAACACTATTATATAGCAGACAATTAAATGTGGGGTGGGCGGGGGGGCATTAAGCCACTCCAGACGTGACCCGTGCATAATAACATTCAGGATTAAAATGAAAATATGCGATTCCAGTGACTTTCAAAATTGGCAACAAGGAATATGATTCCCCCCTCCCCCGATAATGACTCAAAAATACAGTATTTTCCCTTTCACCCAGCTCCATCCATAATTGCCAGTTGATTGTTCTCCATGTTCTTCATAAACCCACGCCCCAGCCTTGGCCACTGGCGCCGATTTACGTAAGAATTTAGCTTCAGTCTGCACTGCGGCTGCTTTGAACTGGCCTACCAGGAAAAACCCGCTTTAAGCTGGAGTCTTGCTGCTGTCGGGGGCTCCTCCTGGGAAGCGGAAGAAAAATCCACTTGCCTTTGAGACGTGGGCCTTGGTGAGTCTGCGTGGGGGCTGGCAAGGGAGGGGACAAGGGACGAGGGCCAGCTGGCTCTGGGGCTGGTTGGCCCCAAGCAGAGGTGCCTCTGGCCTCCCTCACGGCTACTCTTCGGCAGAGGATGACGCAGGACTTTCGTCATCGGACATCGGGGCAAACTGAAACAAGCAGCAGAATTCGTTTTGTTGGGCATCATTTCCAGTGCCTGCAAGGTGCCAACTAGGTTGGCTGGCCTCAGCTGAGGTGAGTGAACAACAGAACTTGGTCCCTTGGCCTCAAGGAGGCAATGTTCAGAGAAGCGCAGGGATGCTGAGGAGGATTTTCATCACAGATAAAGGATGGAGGGGGAATGGAAGTGGAGAGCAGGTAGTCAGGGCGGGAAGGGCTTCTGAGCTGAGTGACGTTGAGGGATGGGGCTTTCTGGCAGAGGAAGTAGCAAGTGCAAAGGCCCTGAGGCAGGAGCAGCAGCAAGGCTGAGCAGACTGAGCAAGGGGCAGAGGAAGAGAGTGGTGGGGGGGGGGAGGTGAGGGTGTTCGTGCAGGGCTTGGTGGGCTCTGGGGAGGACTTTGGCTTTTTCTCCAAGTAGGGTGACAGCTACAGTGGGCTGTGAGCCGAGGAGGGATATACCCTCACCCATGTGTTCACAGTGACTGACCTCTGCTTGCTGGGGGGGGCGGGGTACAGACTGGAGGCGGCAGTGAGGGTGGGAGCCAGGGTGGAGCCAACAGCAGTGGTCTAGGTAGACAATGATGGAGGACTGGGGTCTGTCCCCCAGGAGCCCCTGGGAGCGGGACCACACATCAGACAACAGCTCATCACCTGGTCCTATCAACCCCATCTTTCAGTTGAAGAAACCGAGGCCAAGCTGATCCCCAGGTGATGCCCTGAGCACCACAACTGAGTCCCAGGTGTCCAAGCACTCTGGGGAATGAAGCTGGGAAAACCTAGAGCCTCAGGAAGAACCTGGAAGTCACGTGGGCGACGGAGGGCTTATCTCAGTGACCCTCGCTCTCCTGGAATATTTGGGGGGGGTCACTGTGGTCAACACCTACCATGCCACCCCCGAGCCAGGCTGCAGACGTGCCTCACGGAGGCCAGGGCAAGGGCAAGGCAGAGTGAGGAGGAAGGAATGTGAGTTTCCTGCCCTAGGTCTGGAGACAGACAGCTCTCGGGGCCTCCCCCATTCCTACCTGTGAGACTTTGGGCCGGGGGTGTAACTATTCTAAGCCTCAGTTTCCCCAACTGAAAAACGGAAAGGATAACAGTACTTTATGCAGCTGAATCAGGCTCTTGGGGAGGGTTTGAGAAATCATGGCTGAGAGGCACCTAGAATATGGTCCCTCAGACTGGAAGAGCTTGACTCCTCCATCAGACAAGGGTATCGCTTTAGAGACCTATGAGGAGTGCCACAGTCTCCCCCTTCAGACTGGAACGCCTCTCTCCTCCATCAGGCGCTTATGATACAGCAAGTATCAAAATTATCCTCCTCTTAGGCTTCCAGAGAGTGTTCTGCTAACAGACATCATTTCTTAAAAACCCTGGTTTCTGCGCTCAGATAAGAGCAAGGCCGAGTTAGACACAGCTTAGGTTTCTTTACAGGGAGACATCTCAAGGCCTTGAATATACACTGACATGCTTCGAGCAAAAGCCAAAGTCCTCACTGTGGCCCACAATGGCCTGCGTGATCTACAGTGTCACCTCCTTGCTCTCATCTCCCTTGATGCTCCTCAAACACACCAAACATGCTCCCGCCTCAGGGCCTTTGCAGGTTCCCTCTGCCTGGACAGCCACACAACTCACTCCCCCACGTCCTCAGTAGCTCCCCATCTCCCACTGCCCTCTCCTATCCTGTTTCAGATTTCTTTCCAGCAGTTCCTATCACCTGGTCATGGTACACTGATTTGTATATTTTGTATCTGCCTGCTCTGTGGGGGCAGAAACCGTTTCCAGTTTGGTTCGGGGCTCTGGCCCCCAGGGTCTATCATGCGGCAGGTGCTCTGTAAATATTTCTCACACGAGTGAATGGTAATTAAGAGCCAGCCTTTGGAACCAGCCAGGTCCAGGTTCAAATACTATTATGTATTCTCAGCTGTCCGTGCCTCATTTCCTCACAGGGGCACCAGGAAGGTTCGACAAGCATGGGCCCCATACAGCCGCAGCCCTTCCTAACCATCTGTCCCCTCGCAGAGCGCCCCCCCCCGCCCCCCGCCAGGGCTGACACTCACCGAGCACTTGATGTTCATGCGAGAGTACAGCATGGACGCGATTTCACTCTGCCCGGCGTCCAAGGCCACCATCAAAGCGGTGCTCCCGTCCTGTAAAGCATCCACTGCTGTAACGAGCCCCGAGCGGTGCTCCCGCCCTCCCTGGGGCGCGCCGGGCTGGGGACTCACGCGGTCAGTGAGTGAGATGTCGCAGCTGGGCACGGCCAGCAGGAGGCCCGTGATCTCCTTGTGGCCGTGCTCACAGGCGCACATGAGGGCCGTGGAGCCGTCGTCATCCTGCTGGTTGACGTCCGCTTCACAGGCCAGCAGAGCTTTGACCACGTCCACCCGCCCGTGGCTGACGGCCAGCATCAGGGCGGTCTGCCCCGCCTGGGCAGGGCAAGGAACAGGGTTATGGACTATGCAAGGCCCCAAGGCATGACACCCTTGCTCGGAAACCTTCTGTGGCTCCCAAGTACTGTGATGGTAACGGCATTCCCCACTCACTGGCCTCCTTCTAGATCTCAAACAATCCCTCCCACCACCGGGCCTTTGCACCTGCTGGTCCCTCCTCCTCCTGTCTCCTTTTCATCCCTCACGTCTGGACTTAAATGTTTCCTCTTTGGGGAGGTGCCACTTGCCTACCCACTCCCATCCCCAACTAAAGCAGGTTTCTCACTCCCCGGTGTCAATATAGATGTACACATTTACTGAGCTAAGATTTGTATACTTTTCCCATATGTCAGTTGAACCTCAATAAAAAATAAATCAATGTTCATTACTGGATGAACAGAAAAACAAACTACAGAATATCACTGAGCCTTAGAAGGGCATGAAGGACTGATGCACCCTGCACATTGGACGGACCTTGAAAACATTATGCTCACTGGAAGAAGCCAGGCACAAAACAACACATACTACATGATTCTATTTATGTAAAATATCCAGAATTGGTAAATCCATAGAAATAGAAAACGGACTGGTGGTTGCCAGGAGCAAGCGGAGGGGGAATGGGGAGTGACTGCTAATGGCGCAGTGCTTCCTTTTGGGGTGATAAGAATGTTCTAGAAGTAGATAGAGGTGATGACTGTACAACATTGTGAATGTACTAAATGCCACTGAATTGTATACTTTAAAAGGAATAATCTGGGGCGCCTGGGTGGCTCAGTTGGTTGAGTGTCTGCCTTCGGCTCAGGTCATGATCTCAGGTCATGAGATCGAGCCCTGCATCAGGCTCTGGGCTGGGCATGGAGCCTGCTTTGCTCCCAAAAAAAAAAAAAAAAAAAAAAAAAAATTCTCCTGCAACACCCCACCCCACACGTATGTGTACTCTCTCTTAAAAAAATAATAGTAATAATTTTTTAAAAAAAGATTATCCCGGGGTGCCTTGGTGGCTCAGTCATTAGGCGTCTGCCTTCGGCTCAGGTCATGGTCCCGGGGTCCTGGGATCGAGCCCCGCATTGGGCTCCCTGCTCAGCGGGAGGCCTGCTTCTCCCTCTCCCGCTCCCCCTGCTTGTGTTCCCTCTCTCGCCGTCTCTTTCTCTGTCAAATAAATAAATTAAATAAAATAAAAAAGATTATCCCTTTTATGTTTTTAAAAAAGATTTTATTTATTTGAGAGAGAGAGAGAGCGCGCACGTGCATGCACACAGGCACAGGGGAGGGGCAGGGGGAGAGGGAGAAGCAGGCTCCCCGCTGAGCAGGGAGACTGACGTGGGGCTCACTCCCAGGACCCCAAGATCATGACTTGAGCCGACTGAGCCACCGGGCGCCCCTTAAAAATTTTTTTTAAGTAAACTCTACTCCCAACAAGGGGCTCAAACTCAGGACCCCAAGAGCAAGAGTCACATGCTCTACCAACTGAGCCAGCCAGGGGCCCCTAAATGGATAATCTTACGTGTATTTCACCTCAGTTAAAATAAAAGTAAACCATTGAAATTATTTTTAATTAAAGAAGAACTAAATCAATAGAAAAGCCAGTGGGAGGGGGCGCGCCTGGGTGGCTCAGTCGTTAAGTGTCTGCCTTGGGCTGAGCTCATGATCCCAGGGTCCTGGGATCGAGCCCCGCATCGGGCTCCCTGCTCAGCGAAGAGCCTGCTTCTCCCTCTGCCTGCCACTCCCCCTTTTTGTGCTCACTCGCGCTCTCTGTCAATAAATAGAATCTTAAAAAAAAAAATAATGGGGTTCTAAAGCTAGACCATGGGGGTTCAAATCCCATCTCCTCTAGTCTGGCCTTGAGGAAATGGGTGCTTCTCTGAGCCTCGGCTCCCTTGTCTGTGGAGTGGGGATTCTCCCCTGGGGCATGGAATAAGATCACATCTGGGCTTGGTGCACAGCCGGGACTTGGTCAGCAGGAAGGGCTGCCTGGGTCCGCAGCACGGAGGGCCCATACCTGGCTGGCTTTGGCATTGACGTTTCCGAGCCGGAAGAGCTGCAGGATGGTCTCGATGTCATCCTGGGTCTTCAGGGTAGCCAGGGCAGTGAGCATGATGGGGCTGTAGCCAGCACGGTTCTGCTTGTCCACCTGACACACACCTGGGGGGGACACCGGACCCTCAGACCCCAAAACTGGGGGAGCACCCATGAGAACCAGGCAGCATATCCCCCATCAGTGGCCAGATTCCTCCCTTCTCTCAGGCTGAGAGCCCCATTCTGCCCCAGCGTCTCCACCTCCACTATGCCGCCCCATTAGATGAGGGACTTCTAAGGGGGAGACTGTGTCTCCATCAGCCTGGCACCCAGGTTTAGGGCTAAGAATAGGGGTTGTGTCTCCTCCACTGATCTGGAAGAGCCAGTCCCCTTCAGCCTGGCCTGTATCTTCTCCATCAGATTGTGGGCTCGGCCTCCTTTATCAGTCTGGGAGGCTGTGTCTTCCCTGTTAGACCAGGGAAGGACAGAGTTCTCCTTGCCTATTCAACGACGGTATCTTTTAAGTCCCAGATGGGAGGCTATGCTCCAGAGGTGTCACCTTCATCACACAGGGGGCCTTGGAGGGGGGCTGGAAGGTGTCCATGTTGTCCCTAAGGCCGTCTCTGCCTTTTTCAGTATGCTGGGGCCACGGGTAGGACCTGTACCTACCCCCCGCCCCAGACTGGGAGGCTGGCATGCTCCTCAAGAGACCAAGGGGGCAGCGTCTTCACCATCAGACCATCAGGCTGGGGGGAGCAGCCGGCCCACCCGCCCGGGCCCCCCCCACCACCGTCCTGCCTCACCCCGTCCCCCCGCCCACGCCGGCTCACCGCTGTCAAGCAGCTGCCGCACCACGGGGAAGTTGGCATGAGACACAGAGTAGTGTAGAGCCGTGTTGCCGTTGCTGTCGGCAATGTTGACCACGTAGTCCAGCAGGCGTGCCGACATGGCCCGGAAGGTGACCAGGTGGCGCCTCACGAGCTCAGGGTGTGCATCGCTGCGGCAGGCCAGGCGCAGCCACTCCTGCAGCACCGTCGTGTAGGCCACTTTCTGGCCACAGTGCAGGAGGGGAGGGGTGTGAGGGAGGCAGCAGCCTGCTCCCCAGTGGCCCCCCCCACCCTGGATGAAGCCCCAGGTTGGGGAGTGTGGGTAGGGACACCCCCCCATCCTGAACCAGAGCCTGAAGGAGAAGCGTGGGCACCCCTCCCCTGATGAGCCCCTTGCACTCAACAGTGTGGGCTCCCCGTCCTGGACAAAACAAGGGCTCTAAAGGGACTCCAGGCACCCCAGTCCCAGATGTGCCCCCCTGAGGAAGGCGTGAGCACCTCCATCCTGGGCCCGTGGTCTTCAAAGGCAAGTACAGACCCCCGGAAAGAGAAATGTGGCAGCAACTTCCCTCAAGCCCCCAAAACAGCAGGAACCAGAGGTCAGGACTGTTGGCAGGCGACCATCCTCGGGGCCCCTCCCACCACCCTGGTCCCTCTCTCCAGGGCCTCTTCCCCCTCCCCCAAGCTCTTGGCTGGGATCCCAGAGTCCCTTCGAAGCCGGCACAGGGAGACACTGTGGATGAGAAGCTGGGGTGGGGGTGGAAGAGAAGGAGGGGACCCCAGGCCCAGGGCCCCATCGTACCAGCTCCCGCTCAGTGAGGGCATTGGGGTTGTCCAGGTACTTTTCCAGGGCCAGGCAGGCTGAGATAAGGTCAGGGCTTAGCTCCATCCTGCCAGGGGCAGATAAGGGGGAAGTTTATCTTTTTTTTTTTTTTTTTAAGATTTTATTTATTTATTTGACAGAGAGAGAGAGACAGCGAGAGAGGGAACACAAGCAGGGGGAACGGGAGAGGGAGAAGCAGGCTTCCCGCTGAGCAGGGAGCCCAATGCAGGGCTCGATCCCAGGACCCCAGGATCACGACCCGAGCCAAAGGCAGAGCCTAACGACTGAGCCACCCAGGTGCCCCGGGGGAAGTTTATCTTGAGAGCACTCACCGCAGCCTCCCGGGTGACCCCAGACATGGGGAGCAGACAGAGCCCAAGAGAAAGTGGACATACAGGCTAAAGTTTATTCCAAGCGGGCAGCGGTGGATAGAAAATCTTTGCCCGAGGGCAGATTTTCCACCAGGGGGGGCGAAGGTAGGTGTGGCGTATGTCCCAAAGACAGTGGGTGGCTTAAGGACAAACTTTGCCTGTCCCTTAAATTCTAACCCCAACAGCCCAAACTGCCTGCATCAGGCCCTTTATCAAAGCCTGCAGACCTTTGGATGGCCAGAAGGAGAAAGTGCTGGTTCGCTAATTCAGACTAAGGTGTGCACGACTGATGGCAGGTTCCCTCAGAGGGCATGAATGGTGAGATCTGAGGCAGGGGTCACCCACCTCACACCGTCTGAGTTCATCCCACACAGAAAACTGACCGGATCTCCTCCTCCGCATTCGCTCCTGACGCGCCCTCCACCACGGGCGCCTGCTGAGACTCCCGAGATAGCTGGCTCTCCTCCTGGCTGCTCTTGGCCACCGCCGTCCCCGAGGGCCTGAGCTGGGGGGCTTCGGCCACGCTTGGAACCTTCTCCTTTGGCTCTGGGGCCTCACTCTCTGTGCTCTCGTTGTCTGAAAAGTTCTCTGCTGTGCTTGAGTCCTCAGATGAGGACTCGTACCTGGGAAGGAAGGACAGGCGGAGTGAGGAGACGCAGCAGATGGGACAGGACATGGGCTCTGACCGCTTGACCTCTCTGCGCCTTGGTTTCCCCATCTGTTAAATGGGAATAATGGCAGTATTGGCCTCACAGGGCCGCGGGGACGTGCCTTACAGCACCTGGCACACAGGAAGCCCTCAATAAACACTAGCTAGCACTGCAATCGTGCTTGGGGTGGGTGGGGGGAGAAATGCCGCTCTCACCCTCTACTCTTCAGTACCTCGTCTCCCTTGGCCCCTTATGCAGGTCTAACTGCGTCAGACCCTCACCCCACTGCAAACAGGTCCCTCTTGTGCTTCTTGCTGCCTCTGGACAAAGTCTAAGCTTTGGGCCCAGCATGGAAAGTCCCCAGACCATCCCTGGCTACCACTCCTTATGGCTCTGGCTTCTCACGTGTGTGGCTTCCTCCTCCCACCTCTGAGCCTCTGTCCAGGCTGTGCCCTCCCAACCCCCACTCTTTACTCTGCTGGCTCCTGCTCATCCTGCAGCACACTCGTCCCCTCCTTCAGTGTCTTCCCTGGGCACATCAACGCCTCCCCCCGCACCCTGCACTGCCGAGTGTCCCCATCCCCCATCACCGCTCCAACCACACTGGCTCTGAACTGCGTGCCAGTGCCCGAGGCCCCACTGGACTGGGAGCTCCGGCCGGGTAGGAAGCCAAGCCCAGCACCTTCTGCGGGCAGCACAGACCAGCGGCCACAGCACAGGCTTGGGAGCCTGACCACCGGGGCCGACTCCTCATCGCCGTGTGAGCCCCAGCAAGACAGGCGGCCCCAGAGTGCCTCAGTGTCCCAGCCGTCTACTGCGCCTTGCTTAAAAGGAGTGAATCCAACTAAGGGGCCTAGGCCAGGGTGCATTCTTGGACATGAACAAACCAGGGAACAATCAGGAGGGTAGAAGCTGAGGAAAGGGTGGGAGCGTGGGGTGGGGTGGGGGGCTCCTCTCACCCGCCATTGACCCCCACAAACTGCAGGCTCCTCCGGTGGGCCGCGGGGTCTGCGGACTCCTCTCTGCGCTTCATGATGGACCGCACGCCTGCCGGGGGCTCGCCTGGGGGCACAGGTGGTGTTGTTAAGAATCTCCCAAAGCCAGACCCTATGCCCAGGCCTCCAGGGCCCCGTCCCCCTCGGCGGCCACCCCCACTCACCTGCACTCCCTGCCTCCTCTGAGTCACACGAGGCTGCTTGCCTGGTGGGCTCCGTGTTAGCAGCCTCGCAGGCGCCCATTCCACCCGCGTTCTTCTCAGGCTGTGCCAGGGGGGTCACCGCCACTCCTGGGGGTGACGAGGATGACTCTGCCAGAGCCTGTGGGAGCCCTGCAGGGGCAGGAAGAGAGGTGCTCACCGTGGGTAACAACGTGGGTCACATACCCCGGGCCAGGCGCTTGGAGGGCTGAGGCTTGTGTTGCTTCGTCAAATCTTCCCAGCCCATGAGATTCTGGTTGTTCCAGATAAGGAAACTGAGGCACAGAGGGTTGCCTGAGGTCACCCTCACCCTCTGAGCAGCAGAATCTGATTCCAACAGCCTGTGCTGGCAGCTGATCAGGGACAGGGAAGAAGACACTGTGACTACAATCCCGGCTTGTGACCAGCCCCCCCAACATCACACTGAGTGTTATCTGGAAATAAGGTTTGATCACAGCCAAGAGTCCCCGTCATGGTAGGGACTCAACTCTCCCATGAACAAGCTGTGCGACCTCAGGTAAGTCACTTAACCTCTCTGTGCCTCAGGAGAATGACATCTCCTCCATCATGGCGTTGTTGTGCAGACTGAAGACAGCAACATGGGGGGAAAGGGCTTAGAACAAGGCCTGGACGTCAACAGTGCTCGAGGATCATTTGTTAACTCAAGAGCACTGGAAGCACTACTTAGATAAGATTTACTAGTATTTTAACAAAAGCAAGGTTGTGTTATGGATATCACAGCTCCCTTCTTCTGAACTTTAAGCAGGTAACACTTAAACAATCAGGAAAAAGAAATAATAAGGGTTATTAGAAAATAAATGTTTTTTAAGATTTTATTGATTTTTCTGAGACAAAGTGTGAGAGAGGGAACACAGGCAGGGGCAGAGAGAGAGGGAGAAGCAGACTTCCTGCAGAGCAGGGAGCCTGATGCGGGGCTCAGTCCCAGGACCTTGGGATCATGACCTGAGCCGAAGGCAGACACTTAACCGACTGAGCCACCCAGGGGCCCCGGAAAATAAAAGTTAAAACCCACCCAGGTAGGGGTGCCTGGGTGGCTCGGTCAGTTAAGCGTCTGATTCTTGGTTTCAGCTCAGGTCATGAACTTGGGGTCATGGGATCGAGACTCGGGTCAGGATCTGTGCTCAGTGCAGTCCGCTTGAGATTCTCTCTCTCCCTCTGCCCCTCCCACCCCACTCACACGGACACACGTGCGCGCACGCTGGCTCTCTCCTTCTCTCTCTCAAATAAATAAATAAATAAATAAATAAAATCTTAAAAAAACAAACAACCCATCCAGGTAGATTTTCAGTTTGGGAAGATGAAAATGTTCTGGAAATGGACGGTGGGGATGGTCACGCAACAATGTGAATGTGCTTAGTGCCCCTGAACTGGACACGTTAAAATGGTGAAGATGGGGGCGGGGCACCTGGCTGGCTCAGTCGGTGGAGCATGTGACTCTTGATCTCAGGGTCATGAGTTAAAGCCCCATGTTAGGCATGGAGCCTACTGAAAAAAAATAATAAAATAAAATAAAATAAAATGCTTAAGATGATAAGTCTTATATTATGCATACGTTATCACAATTTGAAAAAACCACCCAGCTTGGGCAGAGGACAAAGGTGACTCTGTGGGCACTAGGTCTCAAGGGTGCCCACTGCCCACGTGGCAGTGGGGGCAGCAGGGAGCTCCAGGCCTGGGTCACCAGCCTGGGAGCCAGGAACAGAAGTGCCACCATGAGTGGCTGTCTCCATCTCAGAACCTGCTCAGGTTCCCCCAGGCCACGTGTGGCTTCTGTGCCCCTGCTTCCCCAGGACATCTCATTTCTACCCCTGGCCACAGGCTCTGCAGACCAATTTCTTTCAATTCCTTTTAACTTTTTTTTGACAGGCACAGTGACTACTTCCTCAAGTCCATGACCACTCAGAGTTAAGAGCAGACAGTCACCAGTCAGCACAAGCAAAGCATGAAGAACAGAGGAGACACAGCCACAAATGGGTTTGACGGCGCCCAGCCCAGGGTGTGGCCGGGTCTGGCCGCTTCCAGGGCCGTAGCCTGAGCCTCTGTGGGGAACCAAACACACACTGGGGTTTTTCTGTGAGTCTTTTTTTTTTTTTTTTTAAGATTTCATTTATTTGACAGAGAGAGACACAGCAAGAGAG